GGAGATAAGTACCACTACATACTACATGAAATTAGGATCAGGAAAGCCTTGAATATAATACAATGATATTCTGGTTAATATTTTGTGGGTATAAGGATTTAGTATCTCTTTATCAGTCTGACACTCAAGTCCAAGGACACTTAGCTGCAATATGAAAAAAACTAGAGGTCAGACTAAGCTAGAGGTTAAGTACCAAGTCATTTCCTAACTCCTATTCCTGAAATGAAGGCTACTTGTGACTTGCAATGATGCATTTCTCAAGTTTCTGTGCCCTGTGCTCAAAATCTCCTCCTTTCCTTCTTCCTCCATTAAACACCATTTAACAACATATCAAAGAAATTAAGCTTTGTTAATTTGACCTTTGTACAAATAGTCATTAGAGCTTAAAACAGTACTTCAGAATCAGAAACAAAAAGCAATTACTGTAACATTAACATTTATCTTCTCAGGTTGCCACACTTCCTTTAGTTACTACTTCCAACATCGTGCCTATTGTCATTCTTAATTATCATGTTAATTTGTCTATAAATACAACAAAATTGGTACAAAGTAGCATAAATCAGCATATTTTAAGCAGTTCCTCTTTTTTTTTCTCCAGACCCAACATAATCTCTTTGGCCCTGTCAGTGTCTCTAGAAATGTTAGTTCGATTTAAAAAATGAAACATTTAGACAATGCTTCTGATAAACAGTAATATAGAAAATTAAGCAGGCTATAATATTATAAGTGTCATACTATTAAGAAGCAGGCTTAGAGATCAGTACCCATAAAAATGGAAAAAAAAAATTGAAAAGCTGGGCACAGCTGTTAAACTAATGACATCTATGGTATCTGTACCATGAAAACTAAGCAATGGTCACATGAGTTTTCTGATCTTTACAAACATACTTATAAAAAGGCTATATGTAAGAGAATGAAACTGGATTATTGTCTAACCTCATACACAAAAGTAAACTCAAAATGGATCAAAGACCTGAATGTAAGTCATGAAACCATAAAACTCCTAGAAGAAAACAGAGGCCAAAATCTCTTGAATATAAACATGAGCAACTTTTTCCTGAACACATCTCCTTGGGCAAGGGAAACAAAATAAAAAATGAACAATTGAACTTCTTCAAAGGAGAAATTCAGATGGCCAACAGGCACATGAAAAGATGCTCCACATCACTAATTATCAGGGAAATGCAACTTAAAACCACAATGACCTATCACCTCACACCAGTTAAGGTGGCCAACATCGAAAAGACTAGGAACAACCAATGATGGTGAGGATGCGGAGAAAGGGGAACCCTTCTCCACTGCTGGTGGGAATGTAAACTAGTTCAACCATTGTGGAAAGCAATATGGAGGTTCCTTGAAAAACTAAAAATAGAAATACCACTTGTCGGTCCCCTTCCCACCTCTGACATGCAGATAAGAGAGGAGACGAGATGAGATATCGAAGACCTGAAAGGGCCAGCCAGGGGACTCAAGGCATAACAGCTCAAGAGCAATGTCGAAAAGGCACTCCTCATATTTATTGAGTAAATGAACTTATAATGAACTCGAACATCACTCTCCAGTCTTGAGTCTAGCCCAAGGACACAACGCTTCTCAAGGATACCAAAACTGTGTGAAGATGGCTCCGAGCCATGAGAACTGCTTTGGTTCTCATCACTCAGTCCTTGATTACACATCAACAGACTGTGTGGGAAAAACAATCAAGTCATGTGTCCTTATACATTTGATTTCTGCATTACTTGAATTATGTATTAACTCCATCAATCCCATACCATTTGACCCAGGAATTCAACTCCTAGGAATTTACCCAAAGAAAACAAGTTCTCAGATTCAAAAAGACATCTGCACCCCTATGTTTACTGTAGCACTATTTACAATAGTCAAGATATGGAAGCAACCTAAGTGTCCATCAGTAGATGAATGGATAAAGAAGAGGTGGTACATATACACAATGGAACATTATTCAGCCATAAGAAGAAAACAAATCCTACCATTTGCAACAAGATGGATGGAGCTAGAGGGTATTATGCTCAGGGAAATAAGCCAGGCGGAGAAAGACAAGTACCAAATGATTTCCCTCATTCGTGGAGTGTAACAACAAAGCAAATCTGAAGGAACAAAACAGCAGCAGACTCACGAACTCCAAGAAGGGACTGGCGGTTACCAAAGGGGAGGGGTGGGGAGGGCGGGCAGGGAGGGAGGGAGAAGGGGATTGAGGGGTATTGTTTAGTACACATGGTGTGGAGGGATCATGGGAAAGACAGTGCAGCACAAAGACAAATAGTGACACTGTGGCATCTTACTACAGTGATGGACAATGACTTCAATGGGGTATGGGGGGGGACTCGATAATATGGGTCAATGTAGTAACCACATTGTTTTTCATGTGAAACCTTCATAAGAGTGTATATCAACAATACCTTAAAATAAATAACTAAGTAAGTGAGCCTATCATAAACCACAGATTAGGAACTTTGTCCCAAATACGCAAAAATTTTTCCTGAACTGGTGCCTGGACCACTTAAGTTTGGTGTCATTATTCCTCACTAGGAGTTGAAGTGCTGGCCATCGGCTGACATTCAGGACCATTACATCCGTTTCTCATTTACTGAATAGACAGGGCAGACAGCAATTATACTAGTTGGGATGAGGATTTAATAATGTATATATAACTGTCAAATCACTATGTTGTACACTTGGAACCAATATAATATTGCCTGTCAACTACACTTCAATAAAAAAATACAAATAAATATATACACACATACATTTAAAAAAAGACAGGGCTGCTTCTTTATGAGAAAGCAAAGTTGTTTCAGGCCCCACTGCCAGAAAATGTTCACTATGACTGGCTTTTTATTTGACACTCTAATTCCTGTAACTACATTACCTTCTCTGTGTGGCCTGCCACATTTCTCAGAGCTGATTCATGGCCAATGTGTATGTGACATTTTGGGGGTATTAAACTCATCTGGGGTATTAATTCCACCCAGAAATCAGATTTTCTCATTTACTTCTTAAATACCATAGCTTATGTTTTTTAATAGATCCTTTTTGGAACATGGCAGGGTAGAAATAAAAGAATTACACAATTATTGGAAAAAAATAAGGCTACTACAATTTCCACCCATACTTGGTTAAGGTGCTTCCTTGAAATAAAAAATGGCCCTACACCATGGCCCAGTGACTTTCCAACAATAAATTACAAATCACTTGTAGATCATTTAATAAGGCAAGATGTGGTAATATTTGCCCTTACCATTTAAGACAAGGTAGATAGATGCACGACTGTCTTCCTTCTCACGAGCCTCCAAGAAAGGTTCATAGTTTATATAAAGATTTGAGAGCTCTTTGGAACAAAATCCAGAAAAACTTGACATGTTAGATCTTCTTGAGAATTGGGTGCAAGTTATAGACCCAGGAAACTGCACACACCACAAACTTGCATTCAGTTTCTTGTGGTCCATAGATATCTTCCACATCCATTTATGAGCTTGAAGAACTCCTTTCTAGAAAATGGCAATCTTAGACACAAGCCACTACAGCTCACAGCCTGTCCTGAGAGAAAAATCCTGTGTATTACATGATTTTCACGTAAAAGGTTCAAAGATGGGTAAGGGATTAGGGATAGCTCCTACTCACATTACTTAGTAATAAAATTCTCATACTGTGATTTACTGCCTCAAAATACCCTGCTTTTGCACACCGTCACTCCACATGATCAGTATGTATTGTAAAGCAGTAAGCCCTGCCTCAGCCAAACTTCCTTACCCAGGCCTATTACTCCTCACAGGACCTCCCTCCACCTAATATTAAATAGTTGGTGTTTGCCTCCAGTGACTAGAACGTAAGTTCCATGAGGGCAGAACTTTGTTTTGCTCAAGGATGTACCTCTGGAGTGTTTAAGAGGCACTCAGATGTTTTTTGAATATTCTACAGGATTCTCTACAGCAGGTTTTTGTAAATAGTTTTACTGAACTCAGTCATGCTCATTCACTTACATATCACTTATGACAGCTTTCACACAATAATGGCAGAGCTGAAGACTTGCACAGGGACCACATAGCCTGCAAAGCCTCAAATATTTACTGTATCTGGCCCTTTACAGAAAAAGATGACTGACCCCCAGTAGCATTCATTTGGTCCTTATTTCTCAAGCTAGATTGGAAGCACCCCAGGTACAGAAGTTAGGTCCTAATACTCCTTAGTGCCTAGAACAGAGTAGATGCTTAAAAATAGCTCAGTACACAAATACAGATTTCTGACATAAAATATAAATTATTCTTGTACAGTTAAATACAGAGTTAGTGTTTTCCATCCTCAATGCATTTCTAGCATGGGCACGAGCAAAGAATACCTATGTTCAATGTTTTGGGGGACAGAGAAGAGATACTGATACTAAGTAGTAGTGAGCTTTCTAGTTCAAACTCACAATCATGTTATCTTTATAATGTGAATCCAACACAGCTGGAAAGCTCCTCCTTGTTATATTTCGGGAAAATGATTTTGAGGTGAACCACAGTTATTTTCTCTATGTCAAAATCACTTTGATGATGTATCATTTCTTTTTATGCCAGGCATATTATGGGTGCTCAACAGTCATCAAGTGGATCGCTCTCTCAGAAGCATTGTGCTCATTAAGTTTTGCAAATTACTATTACCTGAAAAAGGGCATCAAGATTTTTATCCCTTTGCCAATTCTAATATATGCTCATCATTTCCCAATCCTTTAAATTATGGACTTTATTTTCATTCTCTTAAAAAGTTTAATTTACATAGGTGTCATTGGTTTTAAGAAACTGAAGAGTAAGTGGCCAATTCTAGGCATGATTTCAGCGTGCGTGCAGAGGTGAACAAATAGAGACTTTTTCATATTAGGTATGTCATTTGAAAACACTGTAGCCCATGGACTAAGAAAGAAATGGGAAGAAAGGGCTAGGAACCTTACTGAATTATCTTTGCCAAGTTATTGTGAATAAGAAACAATATACACAATGATATACAATCACTTGAGAAAACTGTTGTTTATTTAGAAAAAAGGTTACACTGGTAGAATTCAGTTGATAAAAAAATTTTCTTTTAAAAATGTCACTGTGAAACTTTCCCAGATGAAAGTTCAGCAATACAAAGCTTCTCTAGCTGTAGAATTAAACACAATTAACTTTTGATCCCCCCTCCCACCAATTTGTCTAACATAATTACAAGAAAAAATGGCCAAAGACAAGTGAGTGCTGGTACCTCCTTCTTTTTTTTCAACAGGTTTTAATGTTGTATACATACTATATAAAATGATTCCTAAGCATTGCGTAAGACTGCTCTCACTTTGTTTTTAGTGACCAATATTAACAACAGGCCAAATAATAAATTTAAACTGAGTTTTAAAATGAGGTAAATTCAAAATGGTTCAATATTGTTCATTTTGTTTCAAACAATGGAAAGGAAGCATTTCAGACTGAAACAACAAAAAAAAAAACCCCCAACTAAACCCAGGCAATGCTTAGTTAACCTAAAATGAAATTCTGTACACATGTAACCTTATTTGCTTTTTGGGAACTGTATGCAGCACATTGTGCTAAAAGTATGGAATAGTTAACACTTTCAGTCATTTACTGGAAATAAACATGTAGAAACTAAGCAAAAAGTTAAAAACTTTAATGCACAACTCAACTTCCAAGTTTTCAGCACGGAGCAATAAAGCAGATAACTGAATAATTTAAGTAGATGCAAATGGACCGGACCTCTTCATTCATAATTCTTGGCAATCTACTCAGGAAAATTAATTTCTTGACGCAGCTGAACAATTCCATTCCAATCTCATCTGAAAGAAAGAAGGTGATTATATTGACAGACAAAAAAGGAAAGGAGGAGAAAGGCAAGGAAGAAGGGAGGGAGAGAGGAGGGGAAGGGGGGAGATAGACGGGGAAGAGGGAAAGCAGGAGGGAAGGAGAGGAGGGGAGAGGAAGAAAGGAAGATTGATTTAAGAAAGAAATCGTTGAGTTCTGTCAGTAACAAAGGCTTGAATAAAGTCTCTCAATGATGATGAAAAATATCTGTGTATTTTTGATCACCTACTCTTAGAAACCATTAAAGACAGGGTACATTATGATGACTTTTTAAAAAAACAGTGAATATTTGGCTATGAGAGGGAGGGATCAGAGGAGAAAAAGGAGGGAAAAATGAAATAGAAGTAAAACATTCCACAGGGGCAAGCAACAGCTTGTCAAAAGTAAACAGAACACACAGCAATGAAAAGGAATTAATTTTACATGATCAACAACAAAAAAATGACATTTCATTTTTCACAAGGACACAATTTTAACAGTGACTTATATTAAGATGCAGTGTCTGCTAAATTATAAAAATTGCTTTAAAAATATCTTGACTTAATTATAGTCATTTACTTTTATGTATTGACATTTTTCAAATACTGCATATTGAAATAAATTCAAAACATGATCATTACAACATGTGGCAAATAGCTTCATATCTGCCTAACATTGTTCTCAAATTTTAAACTAATGCTTAATGCATTAAACTTTATTGACAAAATACTACATTCAAATATTTCATAAAACCAGAGCTAGAAGGGCCTTAGAAATCATATGCATGATATGCTGACAAATAATTTACATACTGTTTCTATACAGCATTCTGTTTATACCAAGTATAATCTTGACATTACCAATTGTAGTTGTAGATACACTAAAGTTGAACTTACAATTTTAATACCTAAAATCCATTGTTCATGTCCATCATTTATGACAGATAAACAAAATGTGGTACACATTCATACAGTGGAGCATCATTCAGTTATAAAAAGAAATGAGGTTCTGATACATGCTGCAACATGGATGAACCCTGAAAACATGATGCTAAATAACAGAAGCCAGACACAAAAGGCTGCATATTTCATTATTTCATTTTTATGAAATATCTGAAACAGGCAAAGTCATGAAGACAGAAAGTACATTATTTGTTCCAGGGGCTGGGGCAAGGGGAGAATTGGGGTCTCTTTTTGGGGTGATGGAAATGCTCTAGAATTACTGGTGATTGTTACAACTTAGTATATATACTAAAAACCACTTTTAAATGGCAATTTTTATGTTCTGTAAATTTTATCTCAAATTTTTTAAATTACCCCCCAAAAAGTCAATGTTCTAATAAAGAGTATCATGATATCAGTAGACATATAGGGCCATAAGTAGAATAATAAATTGATTTTCAATCATCAAGACGTCACAATAGAATTACATCAATGATAGTTTTGATGACATATTTAAGGGCATATCAAAGGATAAAACTGTTGTTCCTGTTAAAATACACGAAGATGATTTTTCCCAGGAACTGAAATTAAAATTTTAAAACATGATTCCAAAATCCTCAAGCAATATAATCATCCCAATATTGTCAAGCTTATAGGAGTTCACACACAAATACCGCCTATCTACAACATTAAAGAATTGGTTCCAGGAGGTGATTTCCTGTCCTTTCTGAGAAAGGATAACTAAAACAGTGAAATTTTCATTAGATGCTGCTTCTGGATGGTGAATCTTGAGTAAAAATTGTATACACAGGGACCTTGCTGCAAGAAACTGCCTGGAGGTGAAAACAATATTCTGAAAATCAGTGACTTTGGAATGTCTTGTCAAGAGGATGGTGGTGTGCATTCATCTTCTGACTAAAAGCAGACTCCGATTAAATGGACAGCACCAGAAGCTCTTAGTTAGGGGAGAGAACGTTCTGAGAGTGATGCATGGAGCTTTGGCATCCTCCTCTGGGAGACCTTCAGCTTAGGGGTCTGTCCCTGCCCTGGAATGACAAATCAGCAAGCACAAGAGCAAGTGGGAAGAAGATATGGGAGGTCAGCCTCTCAGCAGTGTCCAGAGCATATTTATAAAATAATGCTGAAGTGTTGGGATAACAAACTTGAAAAGTGCACTCAAAGGCAGTGAACTTCAGAAAGAACTGCCATTAAGAAGAAAGTCACACAGTGATTGAACAGTGCCAAACTCAGCCTTCAGGACTCTGTCCTCCAGCAGAGTAGTATTTTCTTCTCATTAACAATGAATTTATACCACATTGCCTGGAACATTCTTCCAAGGTTTTTTTTAATTAACTGTTTTTTAAAAAATATGCGCTACTTTAACCATTGTAAATAAGAAAAAGGCTCTAAATGCAAGAGATCACAGAGATCTCTCTTTTTCACACCTAGGCCTGTTGATGTTTCTCAAAGGGTTTCAGTTCAGAGCTCGGTGTCCTCCATCCTAGACACTTCTATTCTACCAGGGCTATAAACTGCCTTGGAAATACCATGTTTGCAGGACACATTCCAAAAAAGCAGGCTTTCCACTCTGCGAAGACAATATTATATCTGTAAACATCACTTTCTACTGGGAATTCTCTGGGCATCCTTGGGCTTCCCCCACCCCCTGCCCTTTTTTTTGGCCAGACATAGGCCCTATTTATTATACTAGTAAAGTCATTTCCCTATATTCCACCATGCCCTCCTCCTTTGTCAGGGCATCAGGAAACTATTGCATGAAATGCCCTCAAAGAGCACCTTCTCAGAGTTGAGACAGCTGATTTCAAATGATGTTATAGAGTGGTGACATCAAGAAGCAAGTTTGAAAAGTTACGGTGTTCTGGAGAAAAGAGCAGCTAGACTGGTGATCAACACAGAGAAGAAAAGCAAATATAAAACCAGCCTTCTTATCAGAGGTATACCTCATAAACACACACATATACTTTCTAATTTGATGATCACATTCACCAACAAGGTCCTAAAAAATGTTTCAATAGTTCTCAGATTCCTCATAAAAGAGCCCTCGTGATGGCAACAGAATTTTTTTTAGAGAAGCCATAAACTACAAGCCCACCAAATTCATTATTTTTGGTTCAGTGTCTTCACCTCAAAGGAAGTATCCCCGAATTTAGTTCCCTTCATTTGCACGAGTGTCTGAAGCTGTCAGGGTTTCATGATCCTACTTCTCACACATACACACACACCACCCCGAGTAGAAAGACATATATGGGTGAAGGTGACAATTAAAAAAATGAAGAAAGAAGTTATAGGAAAAAGACAGGGACAACCCTCCTAATTCTTCATTATTCCTTCATTTACCTATATACCACTATCTAGAAATTCTTATCATGGCAAACACAGTCCCTGAGATGTTCCATGTAGATAACATATAACACAGTTAAAACGAACTGAATCTTAGCATACTCCGGATAAATGCATGTGTAGGGATAGTGCCACTTAGAGGTAAATGTGGCAGGGGAGCCTTTTAAATGCTCACACCCATGTCTAGATAAAAAACAGCACAGCACACGGTAGCAAATATTTGGTCTACCTTAAGTGGAAGAACAGAAACAGAAAAATCCTCTTGTTCTCTCCAACTATTTGGTGTCCATGAATACCAGTGCACAGAACTCACACCAAGTACTTTAAAGAGTATAAAGGATGATAATGAAGGGAAAAATAGTTTCTATCATTTCAATCTCCTAATGAAACTTTCACACACATTTAATGATTACTACACACAGAACCAAATGCAAGCATAATAAACCTACTCTCAAAAAATATGTTGCAGCACACAAAGCAATTTATCCTTATACAGTATACTATCAAATGCTGTAAATAAATTGAATCTTCTTTTGAGGGCAAAAACAAAACAAAAAAAGCCAGTGCTATTTCTCATCAATCCCCAAGAGATGTACATGTCGCTATTAAAGTTAACAGAGTATCTGAAACACAGCAGGTAATAAAGAAAAATACTTGACTGTTTGATTGGAAGGAAGTGATGATGTAACTGCCTTCAACAAGATCACAATCTAAGGAGAGGGTCATATGACACACTTGTATATACACAGGAATCAGTGGCTAGGACTCTGTAGGCAAGCTGACACACACACACACGTAAGCAATGGGGAACTACTGAGAAAGAAACTTAACTGAACACTCCCTACTCCAATACATATTACCAGCATCTAGGGCTATGCCTTGAAATGGCAAAACATTCCTAAAATAAGCCATCTTTGAGCACTTAGTAGGCCAGTTTCCAAGTACAGACTGAAGAAAAAAGTCTCAGAACAGGAATTACAAATCAGTTGTTTACAGGAGCCAGTTCATAATGGAAACAAATGAAGTGAGCTGGATGGGGACAGACTGAGGTAAACTATAAAGAATAAAGACTCACTCTATATGAGGGGTACAAGTACCTAGGTGGGTCTAGCTGACTGTTGCTATGAAGAATTCAGGAGACGATGTTGCCAGATTTTCCAGTTCTTCAAGAGGAACTGATACTTGGATTTTGTCAACTCTTCATTTTTAAAGGCAACCAATTTACAAAATGGTAAATATTGTGTGAGATCAAAAAGGTACACCTAACAAGCCACATTCTGCCCAAGGTCTGAGAATTTGCAACCTTGGTTTTAAAGGGTGAGAGAATTAGGACACATATGAAACTGGAGGTGAAAGATGGACCTGCAAAATGTATTAGGCCTCACTGGAGTGAAGGATTAGAATAGGAATGTAGCATATTATAAACACAGATGGAAAGGTTAGAGCTAGTTGCTTATGTTCTTTGAAACTAAGAATCAAAGTCCAAGAAGACCGAGCTTCTCAAAGTCTGTGAGCAAGTCTCAGTTTAGCACAGCACCTACTTCACAAAAGGACCCATGAATTGAAAACCACACACATCAAAGTAAAACTGAGAAGCTAAGGGATGGTTCTATCAGGAAAACTTCAATAGGCAGAATTTTAAAAGATGAAACTATGAGAAAAGGTTAAAGGCAAAGCAGCTAATAGTGTTCAAGAGACTAAATCAAGGATATGTAAGATGAATTTGGACTTTAGCAATAATAAGTAATAGTAAAGATACAGAGGATAAGCAAGCATAAAGGACTTTGCAAGTAAAAATTATGAGATAGGAAAAGAATACAGAAGAGTTTGGAAGGAATTAATCTGAGTCAAGAGCCACTGATTCCTCTCAGTGTATTTCCATACCTCTAATATTAATGTTTCTGAAACCAGGGTAATACTTGCAAATCAATGTTATTTTCCTACTCACCCTTCCCCAAAAACAGTTCTAGAAATCAACAATGAATCTTAGTATTAATGATATCTTTGAATCATGAGAATGTGTCATATGCAGCAGCTCTCCTTTCTGTATAATGTAACATAAATTAAAAACAGAGCAGCTATTTGAAGTAGCCTGAGTTTAAGTAAATGGTGCCAATCAGGAATGCTGAGAACTCTAAGAAAATAAAAGGAAGAACAACAGAAAGACCTGACCAACCCTAGAATGTATCCAATAGAAGGAGGCAACCAGAACAGCCAGAAAAAGGAAAAAAATCAAGAAGAACCTCACAAATTAAAAGTATACTCAAGAAGAAAGTATAGGACATAGTTGTCAACAAGAAATTGAACAGGATGAACATCAAGCTCAATGTACCTTTAAAGGTTATCTGAACTTAGAAGCTTTACTACAAGACCACTAACCTAATATCTAACACCCAGGCCAGTCTTCTCATGCCTTTAGTCCTGAGAGATTATATAGACAAGTAAAGCACAAATCCATGGACCATGCAAATAAGAAATCCCAAGAAATCTACAGCATAACCTTCATACACCAATTAGGCAGTGAGCGAAGAGCAATGTATAAAATCACAGTGAAAGTTCTCAGTGACAATGGTTGGGCCATTCTTAATGAAGATTTAAGAGGGAGGTTTTCCTGTTTCTTTAATACAGAGGCCATGTGAAAGTAAAAAGCAAAAAGGCAAACTAAAAGAAAGGTTAAGGTAAGTAATAAAAAAAGAAGATTGGCCATTTGATAGCTAAGTACTTCATAAACATTATCACACTGAATCCCCCCAAAAACCTCATGGAAACTACTATCCCCTTATTTTGGAAATGAGGAAACAGGTAGAGAGAAAGGTGGAAACAGTTGAGCAAGACCTGTTAGGTAGTAAGTGTTGGAAACCAAATTCAAACTCAGATCTGTCTGAATTTAGCACTCCACCAAATGGCACCATTTTGGCAGAAATAAGTATGCAGACATTTTAGAATGGATGGTCTGACTTGGTACCAGACTACTAGTTTTGTAATCTGAGAGAGAATCACTTATTAGCAATCTCAATAAAACCAATTTGCATTTCACAAGTAACCACTTTTGTCCTTGCTTGTGAAATGCTATACTCTGTAAGCACCAGCTCTGGCATGGCTCTAGCAAAAGAGGACAGAACTTTGGAGCTGATGAAGAGGAGGAGATGAGGGAGGGGGAACAAGGGAGCAAGAGGAGAAAAAGAAATAAATAAGAAAATCATTTTTTAAATGATATCTGGGCAGGAACACAGAATGGTAACTGTAGTATATGAAGCCCATACATGGACAACTACAGCATAATCTTATTAGAGAAGGTAACAAATACACATAATTGAAGTCTGAAAAAAAAATCAAAGCAGTGGATCAAAATTAATAAAAACTAAAATTTAAATTAAAAAAAGAAGAAAGATTAAGAGTTTATAGTTAACTAGAGAAGAAAGCAAAGTTGTTGGGGCAGGGGATGGGTAGAATTGAAGAATGGGCAATTAATATATCTTTTTCAATCTCTCTAATTTAAAAAAGAACCTACTAAAGTCCGAATGCTCTGTCTTAACTCTCGTTCACCCTCCTCCAGTATCCAGCTAACAAGCACAGAGTAACAGAGCAGGAAAAGCACACCGCCTGTCAGGAAGCTTCCTATCTGGCAGCTTCAGAACCCTGCTTTGGCAGCTAAAATAAATACGACAAAAAGCAACCCCTAATGCTCACGTGCTCTTACACAGAATGGGCTCTCAGACAGTTCTCACTCCTAATTTAAGCAACTGCAAACAGCCTTGGTTACCTACCTGGTTTCGTAAAAGATTAGAAGCAGCAGATAATATTAGGGGGAGGGTACAGACAGCAAGCATACTTGATGTCATTAAGTGGTGACAGCTAATATGGAAGCAAGAAAATGGGGTACAAAAAAAGTCAACAACTTCAAATACAGCCATCTCCAACCATTAAAAGAAGAGGGCAAATCATCCTACATACCTCCATAATCCTAAGGCATCACCAAATAATAACCGTTCAGATGATGATCTGAGTGCTCAAAAAACACTAAATTAGGTTCTGAACACTCTGTCCACTAAGATAGAGTGGACTATTGCTCACACACAATTTACTTAAGATGGCTAAAATGCTTTTTAAATTTCATAAGACATAACTACCTCGACAACAAAGCCGCCTATTCAAAATTCCAGAATGAAAAGCATGGACCATATTTTTAGACTTTACAAAACACATGGGCAGTGATAGAAAAAGAGGCACAAAAACTTAAAAATCTCTGCATAACGTCTTCATGAAAAAGCAAAATGAAGAACAGAGAACAGGTAAAGAACAAGGAGACCTACGTTTGAGTTCTGGCTCTGTCAGCTACTATCTCTGTAACCCTCTTCAACTTAGTCTCTGTCTCAGTTTCTTTACCTATAAATGCAGATACTACCACCACCTACAAGGCTATATAGGTAATTTAAAAAGGTAATAAATTATCTAGAGATGATGGGAATGAGTGGAGAAGTAAAGCAGATGTTCTTAAATACATCTTGATGCAAAAAAAAAAAAAGTGTGGCTAATCTGCAAGCTTAAAATGAAAACAGCTTAAAAATAACTGTGAATCTTCTTTTGCATCTATACCCAAACACCTGGTCATCGTATTTACATGAAAAATTCTAGTTATATCTGGCAAAATGGATCTAGTTTCTTCAACATTATCAGACCTTTATTTTATATTTCTATCTTTAAATGAAAAGAAGGTGAGAGAACACTCACCTTGACTCAAAGTCTTCATTATCTGTGCTTGTCGGAGGACTTATGAGTAGATGACAAATTAAGAGAAAACAATTTGGGAAAGAAAAAAAAAAAGAGAACAGCATCTCATCTTTTAGTTCAATCCCTCAGCCCGCAGGCCTAATTGGCTCTGACCAGCCTGGTGGCCTCCAACTCTACACTCTACCAGCTCTGCTCATCTGCCCCATCATCCTGCCCTTCTATTCCCCATGCCCTAAGCCTAAGGGACTTTGTTCCTTTTCTTCCTCTCAGTGCTAATACAGCCAGAGGGAATCTAAATCCCTTAGTGGCATAAAACAACCTCAGTCACCACAGAAGTTAAAAAGTAATCAAGTGTCCCACTTCCATATTTCATGTATTTGAGAGGGTTAACTGGAGAGACCACATAAAAGCTAATAAGCCTTTTTGGGCCATATACTATAAGGGTACAATTCTAAACATGACCAGTATCAAAGCTTTCCATTCTACTGATTAAAAACATCAATAAGATGAAAAGGATATTGTTTCTTCTCTTCCCTTCCTCCTGAACTGTCCCGTTTCTCTTTCCTTTCTATCTTTTCTTTATCATGCCTAGACTCCTATAAGGAATGGTGGAATTAGTTCGGGAAGGGAAAACCAATTATAAAAAAACAGCTCAAAATCCTTTTTCATCACCCACCAGTCACAAATTTTTCTTCAAAAACTTACTTAATAAATATGACACCAAAAGCACAAGCAACAAAAGAAAACATTGGACTTCATCAAAAGTGCAAACTTTGATGCATCAAAGAACACTATCAAGAAAGTGAAAAGGCACCTACAGAATGGGAGAAAAACATTTGCAAATCATGTATCTCATAATGGTCTAGTACCCAGACTACATAAAGAATTCTTATGACTGAGCAACAAAAAGACAATCCAATTAAAAAATGGCCAAGGCATCTGAATAGACTTCTCCAAAGAAGGCATACAAATGGCCAACAAGCACATGAAAAGATTCTCAACATCATTAGCCATTAAGGAAATGCAAATCAAAACCATGAGATACCACTTTAAGCCCATGAGGATCGATATAATAAAAAGCAAAACAAAAACAGAAAATAACAAGTGTTGGCAAGGATGTAGAGAAATTGGCACCCTCACACATTGCTTGCAGAAATGTAAACTGTGTAGCCACTGTGGAAGTTTGGCAATTCCTCAAAAAGTTAAACATAGCATTACCATGTAACCTAGAAATTCCACTTCTGGGTATACACACAAAAGAACTGAAAACAGGCATTCAAACAAATACTTCACAGCAGCACACAAATGTTCATAGCAGCACTATTCACAATGGCCAAAAGGTGGAAAACAACACAGAAGTCCATCAACTGAGGATAAACAAATGTTGTACATCACACTAGGGAATATTATTCAGCCATGAAAAAGAAATGAAGTACTAATACATGCTACACAATGGAAGAATTCCCAATACATTATGCCTAGTGAAAGAAGTCAGACTACATTATTATACAATTCCATTTATATGAAATATCCAAAATTGGTAAATTCATAGAGACAGAAAGCAGATTAGTAGTTGCCAGGGGCTAAAGGGAGGGAGAAATGGAGAATTATTGCTTAATGGGTATGGGGTTTCCCTTTGGGGTGATGAAAATATTTTGGAACTAGAGATGATTGCACAACATTATAAATATACTAAATGTCACTGAATTCTACACTTTAAAATAATTAATTTTATGTTATGTGAATTTTACCTCAATTGAAAAAATACTTATTAAAAGGAGCAGACTCCCATTTAAGAACTATTAATATATGGAATACATTTTTAATATATACCATAATAATGCTTAATAAACACTTTAAACTTTAGTAATGACTTGCTTATTACTAAATTATTACTTTATGGCAAATGCATGAGATATGTTTTGAATATCATCCACTAGTATCTAAGAAAATGCACACTACCTAATTTGAAAATAAAAAAAAGTTTGCAAACAAGTTTATCAGGAGAAAATGTTATAGAAATATGTTTAAAAACCACGGTTAATAAAGACTTTATGACAATGTAAGGATCAGGGAGAATACATCTGACCATCTTTTAATCTCATGAATGAAGAGAAACTAAAAGCACCGTTGGCAGAGAAAAAAGAGAACACAGAAAGAAAGGCTGAACCATGAACAGAGAAGTAGGTGGGAGTGGAATGGAGAGGAAAGGAATTTTACAAGTAAACCAATTCTACCTTCCCAGTAATTTGGGACTGAACTGGCTCTAGTTCCCCAAAAACCTGCCCTCCCTCAAAGCCTCCTCTTCCCACCTCCAAATAATTAACAGACTATTTGTGACTATAAAAAAACCCTCAGTATTTGCTAACTTTTCAGAGTTGGCTTTCTAAGAAAAACCATATTGTTCCTTTGTTTCCCTAATTTACCTTTTTGCCAAAGGAGATTTTATCCATCTTTTCAGATTTAAATGAATCGCCGCTTTTTTCTTTGCCTGAAGATTTTGACATTTTTTTCCTTGTCTTTCTCATTTGGATAAGGAGACTCACATGGACTTTCACTTTTGCGCTTTGGAACCCCCACTAAAATTATAAAAAAGAATCATGAAAGCCTCTTCTAATTGAGGGTGATGACTGCTTTGAAAGTATTAATAAGTCTACCTACTTGTTCCATTTTCCTCTTTTCGTCTCTTGGTTAAGTCTGGTGGCACTTCACGGTCATTGTTTGAGTGATCCTAGAACCAAGAATCGTGAACTACATTGATCAAGAGTTTATGTTTTTGTTTTATTAAAATATTACTCTTACACAAGAAGGGCATAGCTAACTAGCATTGGAGAGTATTTGCCATAGTTTCACATACTTGGTAAAATGACATGAAAGACAAGCAGAGCTGGTAGAAATTATTAGGCTGAAGATCCTTATTACTGCAGAAGATTCACACTTTAAGATGAAAATACCAGTTATCAGACTGCCATGCAACAAACTAGTACTTTTAAAAAGGCAACAAAACATGCTACTGTATATAATAGCTTTCCAAACTAGTTTTAAAAAAATTACAAACCCTTTTCCGCTCTTTCCTGTCCTTTTCATCTTTTTTCTCTCTTTCTCTGGATCTTTCCCTTGACTTGTCCAAATCTTTCTTGTCCATTTCTCTCTCCTTACTCTTGGACAGTGGTGGAGCATGATTAATGTAGAGCTGTTAAATTAAGGCAATATTACTAAAGATTATTAGTTTGCCAGTATTGGCATCATTTGCTTGATTGTTTATTTAATGAAAGATAATTGGTAGTTAGACCCAAAGTCAAAACTGGTCAGCGGTCTGGATTATGAGAGGTAAAATAAAAAGAGCAGGACACAAATTATGCAAAGACTTCAATTCCTGGCCATATAAAAATGATCATTTAAACCCAATCAGTGAATTCTTGCCTCAACTGAGACTCATTAGTAAATCTGTAAATTAGTAAATAGCTCCAGTTCCTTATACAGCTCTATTATGAAGACCTGTAACTACCATTACAAGAGTCCATATATGAAAAATAGTAACTAGACTTTCTCTACTGTGAAAAAAATACAAGCCTCTACACAATCATAGAAATTTTGAATAGTTTTACCATCCACTGATAGGCAATCGATGACAGTGAACAGAAGTATAAAAATAAAACCAAGCTGTAAGTTTACTGGTCTTTTCTGCCTCAGCATACACCATGCATAGATTATCCTAAATTATTTTTACAAATGTAAAGGCTGTACATTCTTTACTTCAGAAAGTGCTCCAATTTACATCAAATAATCACAACTGACTATGAAATTTGTCTAACTATTGGTTCTAAATAGTCCAGAAAACCATATAGTCATCTGAGAATGATGAAACAACTCAAAAAGACTGAAAAATGATGAAATAATGTTCTCTGCCTATTCTTTCTCTGCCAAAAGGCCCAGAGGCAATAAAAACAGACAAAGATCAAAGATATGCTAACTTTAAATAATTAAAAAGATGACCTTACTTATGCAAGTTGTTAATATGGAAATCCATTATAAAAGAAAATATGAAGGAAGTAATCAGATACCTAACCTTATGGCATTTATAACTGTGCTACAAGCTTTTTAAGACATTATATGTATTAGGCAGCAGAATACGGACTAGAACTCATTACATAACTACACAATTCTAGATACACCTTAGGAATGAAAAGAAAAGTGAGGCAAAAGTCAAGTATTTTTACATGAGGAAATCCTTTGATATTCAAAGGAATATATGAAAAGAGACAACCATCAGTCTGAAAATTAAAAGAAACACATTTTTTAACACCATCAAATATTTTCAATTCAGTTGGCTCAGAAATACTGCCATAGCAATGCAGAAGTAGATTCTTTAAAATTTCATTGTGGAAAAGTTGATGATCAACTGAAATAGACAAAATGTTTATTAATAACAAAGAGCAAGAGAATGAGAAACAATCATCAAAGTGCTTGTCCGAAAGGTACTCCTGCTGGATATAGTGCCCTAAATGACACTCAAGATTTTATAACTGTAATGTTTATTCATGTCTTAATATTACTTATGAAACTGACAAAGGAAATAATATATTACTGCAATACTCAAAGATTTCCCTAAGGGAAGTATTGCCCAATTCTCCTGATTAAAAAAAATTTTTTTTATTACAAATGAGCAGGCACATGCACACACAGCCTCCACAAGAATGAAGTTTTTAACTGTGTCTAACTTGAATTCTGTATTGCAAGGAATTGAGAAACCTAGAAATTCTTAGTTTAGAAATGTACCCAATTCTATTTCTTCTTTCTAACCTTTAAGAACAGTTTGGATCACAATACCCTTTTCTACAAAAACATATCATCTCTCACTGCATAGAGAATAAATGCATACAACTTAGCATGGACATTCCAAGTTCTTCACAATCTTTGCACAATTATGTCCTACTGTGAAGCAATCCAATGTATTCGTGTTGTGACTACCACTGCTTCCTAACACCCTGTCCTTCCCAGCAGTTCTCAGGTGATCCCTTTTATCTTAATCTCCAAAGACTAAAGACAGCTCAAAAGCCATTAACACTTCAACCATCCTTCAATTCAATTTCCGGTGAACTCTTGTATTATTTCATATAACCTTTTTTGTGACAGATTATTTCCTATCAATTTCATGGCTTTTGTTTTTGTCCATACATAGTTTCCGTATGATAGGGGAGCTAATATGTCTTTTCTACCTTTACACACTTCCCAGTGCCTTGTACACACAGTGAGTACTCAATACAAGTTTGCAAAATAAAATCATTGATTTGTTAAAGTGATCTGCATGTAGCATTGTTGGGTTTTGTTTCTGATTTGCTTTTAGTTTCGGCATTGGGATCATTAGGTCCAAAAAACAATTTGATAATTCAAAATCTGTTTAAGAGAACATTGCTTTTACTTAGGCTACAATGTATAAAGATGGGCTCAGAATTCAAAGCTGAATTGTTTTTAAGGTGGTTATGGTTGCCCTCAAATTACAGAGCAGCCTGTGGCATCTTACTACACTGATGGACAGTGACTTCGTGGGGCATGGAGGGGACTCAATAATATGGGTGAATGTAGTAATCACACTGTTTTTCATGTGAAACCTTCATAAGAATGTATATCAATAATGCCTTAATAAAAAAATTACAGAGCAGCCTGCTTAAAGTAACAAGCTTTTCTCACACTTTCTTCATCAATATAGCTGCTGGAATAGCTAGGTGAAAACACAACTGACCAAAAGTGGAAATATGAAAGTTAGAATTTGGGGGTTAAAAGGTGAACTGAGAGAAAAGATTTAGATACTAAATTAGGCTTAGGCTTTTCTCCCTTTAATTAATCTTACTTGAAAGGACAAGTCCATGTTACTTTTACCACTGATTAGAAGGTGAAAATAGTAAATAATTTAATAAAAATGAGGATCCCAGGGACAAAACATAACTAAAAGGTTAAACAAAGGAGGGAAACAATTTTATATGTCTGAGTGACAAGGTAACATGAAAAAATAGACACACGTCTTTCAAATCCTCTAAAAAGTAAGAGCTACCCCAGGAAACAGTGAGTTTATATAGAGCATCAATTTTAGAGATCAAAGCCCAGCAAAATTTTTTAAAGACATTCATATGCTATTAAATTTTCCTAGACACATGAAAATGCAACATCAACTCCTATGCAGACCAGTAAACACTGGATGTTTGATGAAAGGCCAAAGGCATTAAGAGTTCATTTCAAATATTTACTGATCACCTAACCATATTGTCAAGGTACCATATACTAAGGACTAAGGACCTGAAAAGTGGTTGAGTCACAATTTTTAGAAGCATATTCATATGCCATTTTCAAATTTTTCCGATTGAATGTGGAATAAATCTACTGAATTTTAAATGCCCACAAAATCATCATCTTTTTTAAGGGGGAGGAGAGACTGACTTGAATCACTGTAATTTAAACAAGATGAACACACTAAAGCAGCTAGGAACCCTTTCAACTACTGTTGAAGCAGGTGCTAAGAATCAAGGAGCTACAATTTTTGTTGCAACATTTTTTCATTGTGGTAGGAACATTTGAGGAACCTTAATTTTAGTCCAAGATTTGGCACTAACAACTTATATGCCACTGAGAAAGGATCAAGAACTTTAGTCAGTTTGTCAAAAAAGATGCTACCACCTGCTCTATCTACCTCACAGCGCTGTTATAGCATGAAATGAGATAACATATGTTCATCTCACATATGTTTTATTTTCAAAAGATTTTCACAAATATAAGAAACCATAATCTTCATCAATGATCAGAAAATCCAGTCACCTGTAACAGCAGGTTTCAAACTGCTTCAAAGTATGTTTCAGGAAATAAATACTCACAAGGTAACATTGTTAATCCATGAATTTTAAATAGCCCACACAAGCCACTGATGGTTAAGACTAACACAGACAATCTGGTTATGAAAACCTACTATATTGTAATACATATTTAATTTAGCCAATAAAAAGTTACTTTAAAAGAAAGCATTCGCAGTACAGCTGATAGTCTTGATTAATACAGGACAATCTAAAAACAATGCTATGAGTTCAGAGCACAGGCACATTGGCTAAAGTGTTAAAAATTAGTCCTCATTTGCCATTGATATTTCATTATAAAGCTACAGAACTAAAAGCAGTAATGTCAACTGATTTTGTTTCAAAATTTCATTTTGCATTGGTCCACCAGTAAGAAATCATACTTAGCAGATATAAAAGGAGGCAAAGTAGAAAAGCAGAGTGAAAAGAGGGTACAAGTTTTATCATAAAGACAAAATAACATGAACAATGGACAATTCAACTACAATAAAATGAACTCGTAATAAGATACACAAACTGCACATTCTTCTTAGTAGCAGAATACTCAAGAAAGAAGAATAATAGGCAAGACTTAATACTGACATGTAAACACAACCATCAAGTTGAGTATTCCCCTCCTGGAGAAAGGTTGGTTTACATTAACCATATTTCTTGATATTATACAACTGCCAAAAAGGTAGCTTGGCAGAGGCAATAATATAAGACTTTTATGGATTGAGATGGGCTCACTTTTTAGAAAGTTATGTGAATGCATCAAATTTATTTTTTGGTCTTTTGCGTTGTCTAAAAAAAAAATCAGAAAACAGCCTGACAGATTTGTTTTGAGAAATTAAATAAGTCAACTCCCCAAAACAAACCAACAACCCATTCCCCAAATGTTAAACTTATTTCCAGATTTTGAAGCATAATAGGATAATGCATAACACAGCAAGTAAGGAGAGATTATAGGAATGTCCCCACATCACACACATTTGATAACAATCTCAGTAAAAGAGGCCACTGTCATCCATTGTTTGTAATAGGTATTTTTAAAGGTTATTCTATTAGCTTACTGAACACTTACTAGGGCGAGGGTCATCTACTAAATAAATGAAGTAAAGAATTTTTTGTTTTACTTAGGCGTGATGATTTTAAAAGACTCAAACCTTTGCTGAAGACTTCTTGAGTTCGATGAGACTGTCCTGCAGAAAATGAATGGAGATGACAGGTGAGCTGGCATAGTTCTCAGAACCCAGAGGAACTTTGGGAAATATGGCTGTAACCTGGAAATAAACCAGCTACTTCTTGCAAGGATAAATCTTGTGATGTCATTATTATATGAATATCAACAATAAAAAACAAAAGCAAAACCATGTAATGGAATTGTAATGTTGAAAAAACAATTGTATGCACTCAATGTAACAAAAATCTTTCTCTGCTCAGAATTCAAAAATAAATGTCAATGCCACATTTTTCATAATACTGTACTTAAGTTATAAGTAATATTAAGAGACTTAAGAAAGCAAAACATTTTTCTGCACAAAAAGTTTAAAATAGTGGAGGTCACTGTGGAAGAACAACATTATCTTACATTTTCATAGTTTGTAATCGGGAGGCTTCAAATTTTACTTCAATTGTGACTCTACCATACACATTTTTTATCCTTGCCAGAAAACTGAGTGGCATTACATTAACAAGAAAACAAAAAGGTATTCTATAAGAAAGTAATCACTTTTTTTGCAAAGTGACTCTGATGGTGAATCTCATACCTCCCACAAAAAAAAGCACTTAAAAAAAAAAGAAACCAATTAGAGTATTCCACCACAGTGCTCTTGACAAAGAATTAGTTAACTTACAGTTTTAAAAGTTCAACATACTGCAAATTCAAATATTCCATGAAATTAGATGACTTTAGAATTAAAATTAAATATGGAGCAAGGAATGGCTACCCCGAGTCTTCAAGAAGGCTACACCCACGATTTTGTGCTGCAGTTGAATGCCTGGGATTTCTCTGCTGGGTGGTAGGACTGGATGCCACATCTGCTTTTATCGTAATGCAAGGTTCAACTTGTTGGGAAACCAATGGGTATAAACAAACCTCCAAGGGAAGATACAACAGAAGCTGCATGCTCACTGAATATACACAACTACAGGAGAACTGATCACCAAGGAGACTTTAAAATGGAACTCCTTTCAAGACTCCTTCTTAGAAGGCACACATCGGTCTGATGCTCATCAAGAAGCTTGATGAATTCAGAGGTATCTTGTTTATCCTGTATCATCCAGGAAGTCTTCAGTGCTATAAATTCTTCAATATTTATGCTGAAAAATATGCTTCATTCTGCTGAAAAGACTCGTTTGCTTGTAGCTACCATTGCACCCCAAAAATGACTGCTTAAAGCAGTGAGGGTAAAATTTCTCTTGCACTTTGAAATGCTACAAAATTAGTGCTAGGTCCTTGAAGTTTTAATATTTTTATAATAAAAATACTCTATAGGAAAAAATATCAGTCCACCAATACATAAAAATTTCATTTTCTAATGCAACATAAAACCTCCAGTGGCTCCAGTGAATACTTGGCACAAGACTTGAAGGAAGTCAGGACACGTATTCCAAACAGGTGAGCCTAACATGGACGCTGCCTTCCTCAGGCTATACTAACCTTTACTGTCGAGGAATATGATGGAGAATGGTGTGTATCAATTTTGCGGCGTTTTTGTTCTGTTGGGCAAAAGAAATAGTGACAATAAGGTATATTTCCACTTTTTCCAAATACTTAAAAAAAAATAAAAACCACCAACTTTTAGGTAATTAAGTATTACTTCCCCCAGTAAAGTCCCTAGATAACTTGCCAAAACAAGGAAATTGAAAACAACCATGCATTACAACATGCAAAGTTAAACAAATATAAAGAAAGGTAAACTTGCCCCTTTCAGGCTCTGCAATGACTGATCGGGGAACAGGTGACTTTAAGGACCCAGAAACTGGTGCTTTTTCTCCTCCTTTAGCATTTTCCTTTGATTTCATTTCCTTTACTATATCTCTTTCTCTGGATGGCTCCTTCTCTCTTTCCTTTTCTTGAGTAGATTTTGATTCTACATTGGGGCCGGTGGTCTTGAATTTCTCATCTTTAGCTTTTTCTTCTTTCTTGAATTTTTCTTTCTCTTTGTCAGACTTAGGTGTTCTTTCCTTCGTTTCTCTTGCTTTTTCATCTTTATTTGGCCGTTCTTCCTTTGGTTTTTCTTTACCATCTTTACCAAGTACCCTGGCCTCTGGAGTCGTAGCTGGAGTCTTTTCTTTTTTCTCTTTTTCTTTCTCTTTCCCTTTCTCCTTGTCATTTTCTTTAACAGCTTTGCTGCTTAGGAATACAAATATGAGATTTTAGGACAAATGGTCATAAAATACACTCCATGGAATGTTTTAAATCATAAACAAAGGTTTCTTAGTGGCTTCAAAAATTCTAGAAGAGTAGCCCTTTGAAAACTAAAGAACAACTTTAAATGAAAAAGTACTTCTTTATCCAGTAAGTAATAAATAACCAAATTCATGAAGAGCAGATTAAAAAGAATGATTTAAGTGATGTCAGGCCCTTTTCTTGCATATGTTCATAACCTTGGGAGATTACAAATGAACATAACCAAAAATTGTCCCACAAGTCAACTGAAGGTGCTACTATCAGGAACTGGATTACCTGACTGGATGAATCACTTGCTGGTCTAAATCAGCATAGGCTTCTCTTACGTAAATAATCCTTACCCAGACTGTCTACAGCAAACACTCAATCCTAAAATGTTTCTTGACTTCATCACCTACCTTCCCCTGCATACCCCAGCAGGGGAAACAGAGTCAGTCTCAGCTTATACAAAACATAATGAGGATGGTAAGCACATAACCAAAACAAGGGTACATACAAAATTTCAAAGCCCAACATAAATGACTTTCATTTCACAGCATTCAACTACCTTTCATTCATGTCTAATGAGGTTCATCATGTAAGAATTCAGAATTTTGTGTATCAATGACACTTCAATACAATAAAATAAAAAGAATTCAGAATTTTGACATATAGCACAGTGTTCCTACCTGTTAGAGCCACTATTTCCATTGCTTGAATTTCCTTTTGGTGTAGCACTAGAAGCTTTATTAACAGCTTTCACACCGCACTGAGATCTCTCCCTTGATTTATCTGAAATAAAGGTAAGGATTTATTTGACCACCCCCTAAATGTAAATAAACTATAATTTCACAGCAAAATGATTACAGATTAATTAGAAGGAAATAAAGGGCTGATTACTTTTTGATAGTTACATACTCCTACTTAGGGAATAAAAAGTAATACTAAGCTTGCATTTTACTTGTCATGTGATACAAAACATTTCAGTTTGTTGAAACAAAATGTGTTACTTATAAATTTCTATAAATAAGCATACCAGTCTCATCATTACTGCTTTCATCAGATTTAGATGCACTTCCTGTCGATGATGGAGAAGGCCCACCACCAGGCCCATTTTGTACACTGGCAACTGCATTCCTCGGAGAGGGGTCTTTGTGATGAAACTCATTTTCAGGTATCATGTATGACTTTCTACTTTTCAACTGCCCCGAGTAGCTGAAAGTCACACAAAGGGTTTAAATATACAAATACAAATAAAAAAATACAAACATGGGGTTTAAAAGAATAAAATTATCAAGTTATTCACTCCACTACTTGGTTCCAGAAAATAAAAAATATTAATTTTCAGTGTTCTTGAAGGTCTTTATAGGAGCCCTAGATGCTTCCTTAAAAATAAAAATTTCAGGGCTCTCTTGTCCCCTCCTGGCATGAGCCAGCTCTGTCCTCTCACTGTATCTCTCAATAAAGGCATATCTCTCAATAAAAGCCTCTCCCTGGCTCTACCTTGGGTGTTTGCTAAGTTCATTCTTCGACTCCACGAACAAGAACCCCAGCACCATCTTTGGGGGCTCGTCCAGGATAGCTTTGGAGAAGCCATAAAACTGCAAATAGTAATAGAAATGGAACCCAGAATAGAAGTGCCCATATTCTGAGGCCCTCTCGACTGACCAGTGATGGGGACCTAACTGCACCCTTTACTGCACCCCCTCTCAGCATGAAGCAGCCAGAGTGGTCATTGCCCCCTTTTCCTAGCAGCAGCTAGGGTCTCTATCTGTAGAGGGGGAAATGAGACAGGGACCATGGGTGTAGTCAGAGTAGGGTGAGGGCCTCCGGAAAAAGCAAGGCAGGATATTTACACTCAGAGCAATGTAACTACATACAAGGAAACCCCCTACCAAAACTCTGTGTTAAACATTAAGCTCTAGAGTCATTCTTCTGTGAGATCAGTTCATATTCCCCAGATAAAGGAAAGTAGCCTGTTTTTATTATGCTAATCATTTGCAATCATGTGTAAGATTCACTTTAGCATGCTAAAAGAGACTTAATGTCTCATCAAGGACAAACATCCTAAGACCACTTTTAACAAGTCCACACCCCTAAGCCCTTTATCAGTTCCCCAAAATCCTCAACTGCCTATAAATCCCCTAGACAAGCACCACCCCAGGCTCTCTGGTCCCCTCCTGGCAGAGCTCTGTCCTCTCACTGTATCTCTCAATAAAAGCCTCTCCTAAAAAAAATTTCAATGTAAACTAATCCTTAAATGAAGATTTTTTTTTTGCTATTGATGAGCTGATAACTGATGATGAAATGACATTTCCTTCAAACCAAGATATATTGGATGTGACTTTTGAAACTATCATCCAGTATAGACCGGAAGCTGATAATCGGAAGTGACAACTCTCAACAGCCTGTGGGAACATGAACGCATAATCTCCCATAATTTCCTGAGGTAAGGCAGAAGATAAACTTCACCACTGTAAAACATTTTAAAGTCTTCAGAATCCTTCTGTCATCTAGTCTCATAAATCACATTAAAGTATAATTGTGTTACCCCATAGCCAATGCATATAGATCTGGCCTCTTCTCTTTTTCTTCTTGGCAGATTTTATGTACTCTTCTTTCCAAAACCTGACCCAGATTCAATACTTTTGGGTACCAAGGAAGTATTTTTGTTAGCACAATCAAGATATTCCTGATGTGAGTATATTCGCCTGTTTCAAGGCAATGCACCGATGCCTACAACAAACATTTTAAGATCTGTCATTATAAAAGTCTAAGTATGGAGAAGAAAAAAACACCTTTGAGAAATTCTTTTTTTTACCTTGGTTAATTTGTAATGCCATTTATGTACAACATGACGAAAATTTTCATAGTCTAATTGATCAGCTTTATTTCCTCCATCAAATCCAGTTGCCCGTAATATAGTGAGGAATCCTGGATAATTTCCACATTCCTAAGGGGAAAAAAAGGTTTACTTTTCAAAGAAAAGTTCTGTTCCTCAAAATAGCAGAAGCTGAAACTTACGTAGACTAGATTAATGATTCCATGTGAAAACGTGATGCATATTTGAATGATAGGTAGTTTTCATAGGATGGTTCAGCTTAGTCAATGATATTAATTTTGGAATGTCAACATAAGGTAGGATTTTTTTAAATAGCACTTTTTAATAATGAACAAATTGTGCTTAAATTTTAAACACTGTTTTACAGCTGAGTCTTAAACTCAGTTTCCTTTAAAAACTGAACAACCTAGCAATTACTAGAAGTGGCTATTAGATACATGGATAAAACATAATGATATTTATTAGTCCTACCTTTTCATATGTGGCTCTATCACTGTGCCACCTGGTCACAGTTTCTAACATGCAGCAAAGAAATCTCCCATATCGACTAGCTTCATTTTCAGTACAGCTTGCGACTGTGTAAATTATGTCAGAGAAAACCTACAAGAAAAAATATTTGAAAAATAAAAACAAATCAAGGTCAAAATTAGTTCAAAATACTAAAAGATCATGCTATAGCAAATCATAATAAATTAACAGATAAGTTTTAGTCACAATGTATTGTCCCCTTTTATACTCACAATTTCTGAGACCTTTAAATATTTTGGCTTTTGTGAGGGAACAGCACATTAATAAAGCAATGACAACAAAATTTTTATTTAAAAAGCTGATTAACAATGACAGAAGAAAAAAACTACCATTATTATTACATCATTCACTGCTTTAACAGAGACTTAGACACAGATACTACCTGGGGTTAAAGGGACAGTAAGCAGAGAAAAGGCTAATAGAAAACAGAAATAGGCAGCTGACATGCTGTAACATATAGTACATTTTTAAACCATGAAAATGCAGTAATTTATTATAAAGAAAAAGCCAGATGCAAAAATTTGTGAATGTGATCATACTGAAAAGCATCCCTGCTTTTATGTACGTGCAAAGGTGTATTTTGAGGGTAAAGTTAAGAGTGGAGAAGAGAGTTCTACCTATTATGACAAACATATAAACCCAAATGTTAAAAGATTAACTAGAGGTGCTTATTACATATCAGGCACTATTCAAAGTACTTTTGTGTATAGTGATTCATTTGATTCTCACAAGAATCTTATGAAGCAGGTATTATTATCCCACTTTACAGATAAGAAAATTGAGGCACAAAGAGGTTAAAAACTTGCCAGAGATCATGTATCTAGAAAGTGGCAGAGTTAGGATTCAAGTTCAGGCACTTGGCTCTTGGGTTCATGCTTTTAACCAGACACACAGCAATACCTCTATAGATTATAATGTTTAGCTATCTTTGTGTGAGACTTTTTTTAAAGGTTGCAATAAAAAGAACTTACACGATCATAGCAAAGAAGTGTGGAAAAATTTGGAGTTTTCTGTTGATGCACCAGTTCAACAAAACGAGCACAGTAAACAGCATCAATTGCTGAAAAAATACATCGAGGAAATATACACAGCTGTAGAAATTTTGTGATGGTCTCATTTTTGGTAGATTCTAAAAATAAGGGAAGAATATATTAAGTGGTAAATTTCATCCTCAAGTGCCTCAAAGCCACTAAACATAATAACAACATATTAATTTTAGCGTAGAGAATGCTATAGAACCACAAACTATTTATAGTTTGTAACCAAAGGTCATGCCTGGGATGAGACTTGTTTTCACTCTGCGGATATTTTTCTACCTGTAATTTCTCCAGAAGTGTGATTTTATACAGAAAAGTTGAATGATAAGCTGCCAATATTGTAGTTGTAAGTTAATTTCACCAGCAAGCTAAATCAGTTCATTTAGTGAACATGTGAAGTCGACTCTGAATTAATGAGTAACCAAAAATTGGGATAGTGAACACTGAGTTGAAATAAAAACATAATACACTTCAACACCTCCAGAATTATAAAGGTTTGCTTTCGTAATTCTAACTTACTCGCTAAAAGCCAGTTGTCCTTTTCCAGTTTCAGTCTCTGTAGAACTCGCTGTACATGTTCCATCTGTTTTTTTTCTTCTTCAAGAAGCTTGTCCTGAAGGGCAGTACAGCGCTCCTTCTCTTTTTTCTTTTTATTTGGAGGCTACAAAGTATAAGTTAGATACTTCTCTAAGTACAGGCACATTACCTCCCTTTCTTTTAATTAAAAAAAGAGATAAATGCTGATATATTATGTCACCAGGGATATTTACGGATGTTTACCTCCATTCAACAAATCTAAGACAAAGTCATCCAGTCCTCAGACACCATCAGAACAGGCTATCTTCCCAACACTGGTACTTTTAGTCTAAGGCATGGAATCACCTTTGACTCTTCCTTCTTATTCATTCCAAAATCCCAATTGCTTACAAGTCTTGTGCATTCCCAATATACCTCCACCAGTCTACATTCTCACAATGAATTACCCAAAAAGCCACTTTGCTGGTTTCCAGCCTAATGCTAGTCCTTTCCCCCACTAAATGCATCCTTTATGCTGCTGTCACAAGTAATCTTTCTAAAGTACCATTTTTACCATTATTACTTCCCTGCTCAGGAATTTAAAATAGCTCTCAATTTTTTTTTTTTTGCCCAGTGCATTTTTTTTTAAGAACATTATGTTTACTAGGGTCCCCCCTTCACCAAGTCCCCTCCACAAACCACATTACAGTCACTGTCCATTAGCATAGTAAGATGTTGTAGAATCACTACTTGTCTTCTCTGTGTTGCACAGCCCTCCCCATTCCTCCCCCCATTATATATGCTAATCGTACTACCCCCTTTCTTCTTCCCTGCCCTTATCCCTCACTTCCCTCCCATTCTCCCCAGTCCCTTTCCCTTTGGTAACTGTTAGTCCATTCGTGGGTTCTGTGATTCTGCTGCTGTTTTGTTCCTTCAGTTTTTCTTTGTTCTTATACTCCACACATGAGTGAAATCATTTGGTGTTTGTCTTTCTCCACTTGGTTTACTTCACTGAGCATAATACCCTCTAGCTCCATCCATGTTGTTGCAAATGGTAGGATTTGTTTTCTTCTTAGGGCTGAATAATATTCCATTGTGTATATGTACCACATCTTCTTTATCCATTCATCTACTGATGGACACTTAGGTTGCTTCCATTTCTTGGCTATTGTAAATAGTTAAAATAGCTCTCAATTTTATCAAGCCTTCTTTTCTAACTTTCATTGCTCTACATAATCTGACTCTATTCAAATTATCCCTCAGCCAATTCACTACAGTAGAAGTGGTCTCCTTAAACCTTAGACTACTTTACACCTTTGCTGGAGCTCTAGAGTGGCCAGTCTGCCTCCAAATTTCCAAACCTAATTTACCTTCAAGGCCCATGCAGCTCAAGACTTACCTCTTCAGTAAAGTCTTCTCCGAAAGAGTTCTCCTTTTAGGAATTCCTATTGCTCTTGCAATTGTAAAATGATCACACAGATCATGTAAAGTTGCTAACCCAGCCCTCAGTAGAAAAGCAAACTCAAAAACTTTTGACTGATGCTAACTTCCAAGTACTCATCCATACCCATGCTCCTACCCAGTGAGAGGTCACCACTAAACCCACTTAGGAACATAGATAGCAACAAGATCATAGCTTGTTAGTACAAGTTTAAACTATGGGCAATGCTGAACTAATACCATGAAGTTATTACACTTGAGCTACTAGAACAAAAACCTACCATTTCCTGATTGTCATCAATGGCTTTCATCTGGACTTTAAGTTTATTGACTTCCCGTTCATAGCTGGTATGTGGAACTGCAAGGTCGTACATCGTCAATGACCAGAATGTGGCATAAAATTGAGGGCTGATGTCATCCCAGACCTCGGAAACATGTAAGGAGACCACTGCTTCATGGACAGGAGCCATCACCATTTCACATGATGTAATGTACTTATGAACTTTATGCTGCTGTTTACTTCCCTTTTCTGATTTTTTAAGTTCATCATACTTTGACTAAAGATAAAAACACACACACACACATTTTTATAGCAGTGACTTTCATAGTATAAAAACCTATGTTCCCTTTTCAAGAGTCAAAAGATGACCAATCTAAACAGCTGTAGGAATTCTACTTCCTTACCAACATTGATTTTAAAATAAATCATCCCTGGAAACTGCTCTAATCTTTGGTCCTGGGTGCTCATTAGGAGCTTTTCAGGAAATTCTTACTGAATCTAACCTGTTCAGTAAGGGGATAGGTATGTGTGCCCCTTGCCGTTTCCCCCAACCATACTCTCTCTTACTGCTGCACAAAGATTAAACATACAGGGTTTCCACTCCTGCTTCTGAGATAGTCAAGGGAACCAAGCAGCGGGTCTTAACACTAACGAAGAGGCAGAATGGAACTAACAACAGCCAATCTGGACAGAATGTGTTATCACTACACATACCCATATTGCCTGTTACAATTTCTTGATGAAGCTGGATCAATGCTAAGAAAGGTTATGAAAAAGTTATCATAAGACTGATAAGTAGGGTGACCAACTGCCCAGTTTTGCCAGTGACTAAGAGGTTTCCAGGGATGCAAGACTTTAGTGTTAGTACTAGGAAGTCCCTGGCAAACTGGAACCAACTGGTCACTAGACTGCAAAGCTAAACACGATTTCCTGTGAATGGCTGTGGTATATTAGAGTTTAAAGAGTGTGGGAACTGACACTATGGTGGGTTTTTATTTTGTGGCCTGACTGGTTTACCCTAATTTGAGGGTGTGTGTGATGGGGGAGGGGGCATGCCAGAGGAAGGCCATGCTCTTAATTGTACAAGGAAAGAACCTGTTAGTACCAGAGGGGGGTGGGAGGGGTAAAGGATGGGACACTACAGAGTGTATGCCAAATGCAAAAAAGAAAATAATACAAAGTAGAGTTGTATTATTATACATATATATAATATAAAGTACTCACCAAGTACTCACCAATCCCATGAGATATATATATATATAAAATAATACAAAGAATTGTCTCATGTCCCTCAGTCTCTTGAGGATACAAGAGCTCTCACCCAAAAAATTTTGTTTGGGTTAGGCATAATCCTGAAGATGAACCTAGGAGGAGACCCAAAAAGAGTTTCTTCTTTATGTTAGAAAAACACTTAAATCATTCATTGTTTGGGCTAAACATGGAACCCAGAACTAGAAGGTCAGAGGTCAAAGGATCCACTTCCAGTTTCCATCATGGCAGAACAGTCTTGACTCCCCACAGTCCAGCTGCCTTCCCTCCTAAGTATGTCTATACCCCAGGCTCACTAGACTGAAGAAATACCAAGTGCTTTTGGTTCCAGACGGTATCTCAAGCAGGCTCTGAGAATCTTAAAATTATTCTGGAAGTGAGAAGATTTATCTCCTCCTACCCCATTTTAGAAAGCACACTGATGATAACTACTGAGACTACACAGGTGACAAAACTATGAAGAACATTACTTACAAGAGAGAGGTCCCAATTACAACAGAGACCTAAGAGCAGAGCAGCTGGGATAAGAAAGGGTTTAAAAATTTGAGGGTGGGTACTATCAAGAGTAAATAATAATGAATCTATGTGAGCAGAATGATATCATCTAAGGTTCTAATAAAACATAGTATAGGGTTGAAACAACCTGCATAAGATAACTTAGCTACCTGACTTAGACAAGATCTAGAATATGAACTGGGGGAGAGCCTTTTTTTCAGACCCACATTGCAAGGTGAGTCTCAATAATTATAAATGAAAATTAGGTTATAGGAATGAGAGGGTTATAGGATAGCCCATCTCCCCAATCCTCTTCTAAGTCTGTGACTTGTTACTAGGTACTCCCCTAGTCCCTATCTTGTTAAAAAAACAACAACAGTTTTGATCAGAAAAGATAGCTATGCTTCATATTTACCTATGATGAGTATTTGTCTAAAGTCAGTTTAACTCCCTCTTCAGGCTCACATCTTCAGTCAAGTGGAGAGGCATAACAGCTCTACAGCTCAAGGCACTGGGACACTAGATCTATGGAATAGAACTGATACCCACAATTATTGCTGTACTTCTAATTACTATTCAGAAAGCTCTTCCTGGCCCAATATTCTGAGCAGTGTTTGGTCAGCTGAATTGTTTCCAGGAGAGAAATCGGTAGTCAATTTATGGAAGGGACTTTGCAGTCCTCCAATACTCATTCTCTCATCAAAGGCTTTACAAGACAGGCTTTCACTCAAGAAGCAAAAGCAAGGATCCCCAGGAGGTTGGATACTCCTCCAAAGTGCAGCCAAGGTTGCCAAGAACTCCCTTTCCAGAAGACAGAATATAGCCAATGGGGAACAGACTTATCTCTGACTTAGCTATATAGCCACCTCTGTATAGTTGTTTTCCTCCTCAACCCTGACAGGCAAATGCCATTTATTGTTTAGATTTTTGTAATTCTTAAATGACAAAGACACAGTATTTTACACAGGCTACAGAAAAGGTAGCTACTGGTATGAATGACTGGCTCCATTTTTTGACCTGGAAAAGTTCAGCCAACCTCAGGCAGCCAAAGTGTTCACTATCACAGATTAGTGTGTTCACTTCTCAGAATAGCACAGGGCAGGGCAGAATCCCTGAGATGAAGCAATCCTCCAACCTCACTCCTTCAAGCAATCAGGTCCCTTGTTGTATAGCTGAAACTGATCTACTTGGGGGAAGGGGGGAGCAACAACACAGGGTATAACTATGCAAAGAGAGCATACCATTTTTTGGATTGAGAAATTCTAAGAGGAAGAAGAGGCCTTATCCCCTTCCCCTAAAGAGTATAGCACAGAATTGCTGCACAATGCTAAAGTGATAATTAAATCAATTAGCATTTAGTTAATTCTTAAAGGGAAGTGTGAGACTGCAGCAGTTGATATGTAAATACTAATAGCTGACAGCTGATTGCCTAATCAATGAGAACCCAGAATTTCTCAGTGCCTTTTTTTCCCACACTTCTACCGCACAGCCCTGTATTCCTACTGGGAACAAACATGGAATCCTAGTTTAAGAGAAAAGACCGAGATCTTTCCCCAAACCATACAGTTACAGACTTTAAAACAACAAATAAAACAGAAGGGGAAGAATCCAAGCCTGTACAAAAGTGAAGAGTCCGCTGGGGCTCCAGTCAGAGTGGGGAAGTATCACAGTTTCCACATGAGCACTGACCGCGGCCCAAGGCAAAAGGAAGAGTGACTCACCATTAGTGGTCACTGCTTTGCAGGAAAGCATGCAGGCGGCATAGAGGAGCAGAGGAGAGGGCAGGCTGTCTCCTTTCGCCCACATCCTTACTTGAATTTCAATACAGTCATTACTGGGCTATCCTGCTAGGAAGGCTCTAGTTTACTTCTGTTGTTATTTCATTTAGATGGAGATAAATAAAACAAGAACCAGGAATACACCTTTCCCAGGAATACACACTTCCCAGGAGTTACACCACTGAGGTTGCAAGAGTTTTTAGAGCACTTGCGGGTGGTTAAGTCTTTCTGTCCATCTGTCTTTATGACTTTCAAAGCACTCTGCATATCAACAAGTCAGTTATCTGACAGGATATTATCAGTGAAGGAACAGGGCTCTGCATTCAACTGGAGTGTTTCTCAATAATGTACCACATTTGCCTGAGTTAGAATGATCTAGTGCTTGTTAAAAAAACAAACAGCAAACAAACAAATTCCCCCGGGTACTATTCAAGTTACTAAATTACAATTTGGGAACATGGGATTGAGTTTTTAAGATGCTTCCCTGGTAATTTTCATCTACACTAATGTTTGAGAGCTATAGTTCTAGAGGGTCCATAAGACATCAACCTGATCAACTGGTGATGCAGTAACAGTAAAATCACACAAAAAGTAAGGCTTATTTTCTTAAAGGGGCATTCTCATTGTATACTGCTCAGAGCTGAGTATTAACAAAGAGTAACTCCAAGAGACACGATCTACATCTATGTCAGGCTAAAATGCATTTACAAATAAAACAGGTAAGAAATAATTTGGAGTCATTCCTGAATGGCAGCAGAGAGTATTTATCTTACCGAAATGTGCTGTGCATACATTGGCCTAGACAGGCAAAATGCTGCATCGTAGGGTGTATGAAATTCATTACAGAGCACATCAATTGAAGGCACTCGCTTTATGTAATCTTCTGTGCTTAGATTAGATGCTAAAAACCCACCAAATTGCACCAGGGCATCATGACACTAAATTTAAAAAAAGACAAAAGACAAATGCTACTGGTTTTTACAAAACCAAAATAAACATTTTCCAAAACGATTAAGATATGTCATTTTAACAATATTTTGGTTAACAATCACAAATTCAAAGTTTCCAACTTGAAAGAACTTTAGAGACAATCTACAAACATAATCACATTACAAAGAAAATAAACACCAAGGCCCTGAAAAGTTGACTAATCTAAGGCTTTAACAGTCAACAAGATCTCAAGTTCCAAACTATTCTTGATCACTTTTAGTAGCAGAATATATTTACCTAAATCACATACAACAATTTTATGTATATAGAAGTCAATTCTACTGTCCTTGATAGATGAAAACTTTATAAAATACATGTGGATCTTTTTTTCTCTTGGAATATAGTCGGTGATAAAAAAAACACCTTGTAGGCTAATCATAGGTTTTGGTGCTTAGTATGTAGAAATATATTTTATTAAGATCACATCTACTTTGTTGTGATTGAAATTTCAGATTTCCAGAAATCAGGTAAGATATGAAAGCAAACAACTTGAAGTTATCTGCTTGACTGAAAACCTTATACATATATATATATATATAAACCTTATCCAAGGGCCATCTCTTAAACATAATTTGCACAAATAGCCCCTATATTTCCAAAATATCTATTTTACATTAGATCTGCTTCACACTCATATGATGTGCAAAATGGCATTTTTCAAATTATATAACATTCCATATTTTCCAGTATTAGGATTTTTAAAAATCCACATAAATACAAAAGCCACTTTAACTTGCCTGATCATAGAGCTTTCCCACAAGTTTCAAATGTTTCTCTCCACCTTCCTGAAAGTTGACCCCATTTCTCTGCTGAGCCATAAGCAAATACAGAGGAAGAGCAAGGTCGTGGTCCAATAGTGCATCCTTCAGTCTCTGGGAGGATTTTTTAGTGTTTCTGATCTGGCCAAAATAGCCACCCTGCACAAAAGAAGACAAAATTTACCAGCATACAGTACATAACACAGGCCATCTGGTTTGAAGACAGAAAAAGTTCAGTTACAATTCAGTTCAGGAAGATTAAGAACTCATATACTTGCAACATTCCTTCCCTTTCTTCACAAATTTATTTCAGTGACAGTGTTACTGATTATAGTCAGTGGCTGAAAGATAACTGATAACTGAATTAAAACTTCTGCATATTCTCCATTTTATACCTTGCAGTCCCTTACAAAGGAAAAGGAATATTCTTTATTCCAAGTGGAGCAGATTCAACAACAGAATAACTATGTTCAGATTTATGCCAGTTAAGATATCAAGGACCACAGAAGCTGGTATTTATTTCTCTTACATATCTATTACTGTCTTTTATACTTTGCTTCAGCTTTTAAAAAAAATTAAAACAACCAGTTTACCTCAATTTTTAAGGGGAGGTGGGGGTGGCTATGAGAGAAGGGTACTATGGTTTTGTTTGGTTTTCTATACTTACGTATTTGGATTCTTCACTGTGAGAATATGCACACATTTTGAATTTAAAAAGTCAATAAACAAAAATAGCAACTCTCACCTCAGCTTTTAGCTGCTCTCCACCAGTCATGGCCTCTAGTTGCTCCATTGTCATTTCCTCTGTAATTTCTATTCCTGCCATTTTCTGTACCACTTCTTTCAATATAAGCAGGTCAAAACTATTTAGAAAAATAAGAAACAGTTTATAGTTGAAACTTCAAACATAAAAGTAAGAATATATTGTAATTAACATACTGAAAATCCCTAAATTATTTGCACATAAATATAGGGGTGAGGGGCTGAAGCAGTTTTTAAGGAAAAACTGCACTCCTAGAACTATACTGAAAAATACTTGGGGCATGTAATGTGTTTATGCTCAACTTTTTACTTGGAACTAATTTCAAACTTACAGATAAGATGCAAAGATAATAATAGTACAAAGCACACTGATACACCCTTTACCCCAATTTCACCTATTAACACTTTTACTTTTATCATTTTTTGTTCTCTCTTCCTCCCTCTCTCTATACACACACACACACAATTTTTTGAACCACCTGAGAATAACTTACTTATTTAGCAACATCACTTAGGGGTACATTCTACCCCTAAAATTCCTAAGAATGTGTTTCCTAAGAACACAGCTATTCTCTTATATAACCACAACATAGTTACCAACTTAGTAAATCTAACACTGATACAATACTTTTATCTAACCTACAGTTCCTATTTCATTTTTATCAGTTGACCCAGTAATGTCTCATAGCATTTTTTAATCCTCCAGTACAGGATGGCCAATATGTATTCTTGTTGGTTACAGCCATCTCTAAATAATCACACACTTGGAAAGAATGGAGGGAGGGAAGGAGAGGAGAAAGGAAAAAAGGAAGGAAACAAAAGTATCAAGTTGTGGTATTTGAGCCTAAGCTGGAAGTTTGGTGGTCAGCCTTAACCACATTCATTACTGTATTGACAATTATGCATTTTAATTCTCAAAGCTTAGGACTTTCAACAGAAATAACACCTTATAACTTCCAAGATCTTTAATTAGTTAAGTAATGAAGATAAAATGAAAACATTCTTTCCTACAAAACCAATATAGATGTCTTTCCAAAGGGAAAGCTACACATACCCAAGATGCAAGTTTAAATAGACAAAGGAAGAATTTTCTAAGATTCTTATTGTTTTCTCTTGCAACTTGACTTGACTTCCCTTAACATGATTTTTGAAAACAAGAGGGCCCTCATGCAAATTAGAATGCACAAGTACCAATGAAATATTTTAATTCTTCTTTAAACTATCTTTTAATTAGATGGTCACAAAAACTATACTCACAGTACCGAGTTACAGACTTACAAATAACATGTTCTCCTGGCCTACAAAGAGTAAATAGAGTATATAGGAATGATCACTAGATGAGCACAGTATGAATGACATGCTGATAAAATCCTGAATCTAAATAGTACTTTTTTTTAAAGGTTTTCCCTAAACCAAAATAATAATCTGTCAAGAATTACTTAGGTAATACTTCTTTGGAACACCAGATAGCTTTATAAATTTTTTCATTTTCTACCAGAAAGCTTTTGGAAACAATTTTCAGTTCCTTGATTCTAGTCAGTCTACTGCTGATGAGGTTTAATTCCCTTACATACTAATTCAAACTTTAAGCACTGGTATTGGTCCAGAATAAAATATTACACCTCAGTATTTACAAAGAAAATAGGACACTGTCCAGAAGGTATGTAAGCTTTACATATCTCTAAAGTTCAAGTTCAATAACTAATAGTGTCTTAAAGATACCACACCCACAAAATAAACATGTCCTTAACCAAATGCTCAATGTAAAGGTCAATTACTGTCCAGTAGCAATAATCAATAGTACAATATGTTTTGTCTTAAGAGGATTTACAATACACTATACTATTTATTCAAAAGCCTAACAGGTAGTCAAAATAAGTTAGTCTTTTTAATCACATATGTAGCCAAATATTACATTTCTTTCTGTAAAAAAAAAGTTTATGTATTAAATTAAAGTTTTAGTTACAGAATTCAATATAAGTGAGCAACTATTCTAATAAGCCTGTAACAAATACCTTTTCAGGATAATAGCAATCTTAATATCCCAATAATATCACCAGAAGAACTCAAATTACTTAATTTCATTTACATATAATTTGCTAAGAATACCTTTTGCCCGCCTTTAGCTGATTAGCCACATATTGAAGAAGACCAGCAAGATCAATCGGGTATTTATGAAAAACCGCACCACAGAAACTAGCCAGACCTATATGAAATTAAAAAATAGGGCTTTTTAAAAACAGTTCATAAAACAAAAAAACACAATACTAAGTGTGTGATTTCTTCAACTAACTCAATTTCTAAAACAAAATGAGGCTGGAATAATTGTATTGCTAATGCCATTGAATGGAATTTTATAATAATAGCTAATATTTATTGAACATACATACATATGCCAAGCACTGTACTAAGCCCTTTGTTAATTATCTCATTTAATCTTTGCAATAATCATCTCAGGTTGGTACAAACCTATCAGTGAGGAAAATTTGGGTAACTTGTTCATGGTCGCACAGTTGGTATGGGATGGAAAAGTGATTCAAACCTATCTGGCCTGATTCCAAGGCTTATGATAGGCCACTACAAAATCTTGCAGATCGCTCCATAGAGCTGAATGATCAACAAAACACCCACCTCTCAAACGTTTGAGTCATACACACACAAAAATCTTTTTATCTGGGAACATGCTACTAGTTGTGGAGAGGCAAGGAAACAGGTGAAGCATTGCCAGAGCAAGAAGCAAAGACCAATTTTAGCCAACAGTCCATTATCACTGAACAGTGAGAAAACCCCAGTCAAGACAAGAGGAGGAGATCTGAGTCAAGTCAAGTAATCCACAGCCTTGCAACAATTGTTTGCTGAGCACCTAAATAATGAACAAACCTAGGTCCTACCCTCAAGGATTCTACAGTCTAGTGAGGGACACAGAAAAGTAAACTGAAATCACTATGACAAATAAAAGATTCCATGGGAGTACAGAAGAGGGACACCTAATACTGACTTCTGGTGGGAGCATTAACAGGGAAAGAGTTCCAAGGAAACTGACCTCTAAACTGAAATCTAATGAACAAGTAGAGATGTGGTGGAGGAGATGAGTGGGCACAGAAGAGTATCCCAAGTAGAGGGTATAACACATGCAAAAGGGCCATGCAAAGCACAAGTAGTTCAGTATTAATGGAACCTAGAATATTAGGGAAGGGGCAAAAGACGAGGCTAGTACAGTGAGTAAGGACCCAACTCTGAAAGAACTTACTTGTATGACTTCTACAGACTTCAGATTCTAAAGGGCAATGAGGATCTATTGCAAGATTCAGCTATCAGACACAGTAGGTTGAAAGAAAAGTGAACTAGCTGCTAAGGTACAAGAAATAAAAAATATATAAAACAAGACTAGGTTTTTTGTTAAGCAAGAGAAAATTTTTATTTCTTTTAAGATGACTGGAACCTCAGGATGGTAAAGATAATCATTCCTTTAAGATTAATTCCTCTAAAATAATAGACCAGAAGGGAATTTTCTTCTCCCCCTACCAATGCTTATCCAAATACTACCACAGCCAATACCGGCCTCTTGAGTTGGGAAGTACATAACATATAAACCTCCTTACGCAGCCAAGGACTTGGACATTCAGTAGAAATCAAGTGGCTAGATGTTCTAAAGAGCTCTTGACAAGTAGGTCCTTAGTACAGGTAATAGAATACATTGAATGGTAGTCACGACAGATGAAAATTTCATCCTCGGAAAAATAAAAATACTTACTCTGAAGCCAGCTTGAGATGGTTGTATCATCGTGTTTCATTTTCTCCTTTTCTGGATTAGCTAGAGCTTCAATGATACAATCTTTCATACATTAAGAAATAATTTTAAGTCACTATATCTCTAACAAAGACTCTTAAAACAACAACAAATGCTGCATCTTGGGAAAAACTAAGCTTCAAGTTATTACAAATTATTTAAAAATACACACACTGTAGTACCAACTTTTCTTTTTTAGCTTCTTTTCCATCTCTCAGCAAGCAAGACAGATTCCACCTATTTCAAGATGTTTAGTAAACTTAACATTGTGTCTCTCTATATAACACACACACTCACTCACTCACTCACTCACTCACTCACTCACTCCTGACTGGCCAACCTTCAGATCAGCCAACAGAATCATATGCAAATGGTTTCTAAAGGAACTCAGAATGAAAATAAAATGTTCACCATTAACACCTATGAAACATGAAATGTATGCATCACTTCACTCAAAAGGATACAGGCCAAGACATCATAATTCAACGAAGTGAGATATTTCAATGAATCTACTACAGGTGTTATTAAGTTATCATACTTTTGTATTTGTGACAAGATCTGGAAGACAGCAACAAAGAATAGATGGCGTTAACTAATTAAAAGAGAACGGTGCTATCTAAATAATGGCTACACTTTTTATTTTTCTAAAGAAATAATGCTTAAAATTTGTTTCCTTCCATTTTGTATTTATATACAACCTACTATTCTACCATTTACTTAGAAAATACTTTGTTAGGCTGTATTTTCCAATTAGCAAATAATTCCAGGGCATCTAAACTTGAATTTTGGAATTACAGAGGCTACTTTCATGCTAAATGTTTTAGAGATCTCTAAATATGAAAGTGTTATATCTGAATCACAATGAAATGTTATTCAGATGTTTCTAATAACTAAATCAACAACTAATCCATCTCTTTACTATGTTTCAATAAATCAAAATGACAGAGTGTTTAAAACAGTAGCATTGTTACATATTACTAGAAAAATATATCAATGTATTAAATATATTGTATATTAAGTTTCATTTCTGAAATAACCATTTGCTAAAGGTTCCACCCCAAGACTACCACACATTTTAAAAACTACATTATTTCATTTCCACCTGTGCTGATTTAAAGATAACAAACAGAAAAGTCCCTTAAAATAATGTTAACCTCAAAACGTACATAATCAAACAAAATGGTTGGATTGCTGTGGCTCAACTTTCCAATTTGTCTTCCAGAAGGCTTCACATTTTCCTTGGTTAGACGCCTACAAGGGGAGAAAAAGGTGGCAGGGATCATCTTACATAATTTTCCCTATAATGTTGATAACTTTGTTACATCATGAAAAAAAAATTCTTTCCCAAGTATCCAAAATGAATCCATGTAAACAACCACATTCATCATATACTTTACTGCAGGACTTGGGCTATTTTAATTAGGCATTCTCCCAGGGGATATTAAGATTTTGTACTAATGCTTAATATTTATAATATATACATTTCCTTATATAGTAATAGTAATAAGCATTAAAACTCTTAATGTGCCCTACAAGTACATACAACTCTTCTTATAGAGAATCATTATTTTAGATTTAGAAAGGCTCATTTATCACCTTAGGGATTAAGATATCAAATTTGGTGTAATGCAATGAACTACCTTGTGCCATCTGTCTCAGTGACCCCAAAAGAGTAATAGCTAATGCTGCACTCCTTGATACAGGAAATTCTCTGGTTTTTATATTCAAAGTAAACAACTTTTGAAAAATAAATTCTACTCCTTTTCTTCCTGTTTAATTTTTCCTCTGTTCAGTATTCTTTTACTAACATTCTAGAAATTCATATCTATGAAGTACTTAGAATTCAAAACAATTATTATACAGCACCTTCAACTCTTCTGGTGAGATTATTACATAATAAATCTAGAAACTTAAAAAGCATACACGTGACAAGAAGCTTTCTAGACTGAAAATATAATGAAGCAAATAATCAATTCAGTTGATAGTTCAAGGAATGTGACCATTCTGGAAGTGGCAAACTTGATATACCTTAAGAAGTTTCTTATGACAATACTGACCCATCAATCAAAATTATTTCATCAAGTGCTTCTCTTTCCCATTCTCCATGGCCCAGTTTCTTTTTTGCCATGGTAAAGAGAGACCCATCAAGTTTTAAACTTTGGCGATACTCTCTGTTCTACCTTCAAACTTAATACCACCTGTCCTTACTTTTAACCCTACTATTTCAGGTGGCCTCACTACCTGCCAAAGCTAACCTTTGCTCTCCATACTTTTTTTATCACATTCCTTTCTGCCTCCACCACCCTGGGGGGAAAAAAACAAAAATAAAAGGAATACTTTCTTGATTATGTCTTCTCCTCAATCTATCATGGTGTCTCGTATATGGAACACAATCAATGAGCATTTATGGAATGAATTACTGGATTCCCTATAGCAAATTCATGTCTTAAAGAGTAATCAAAAACTTATAAAATTCTGGAAGTAATACATTAATACATTCTATTCTCAACATAAGGTTCAATCAATACCAAAATCACATTGTTCAAGCCTGGTGAAACAGTTACAGCTTAAAAATGCAACAAAAATTCAAGTATATTAAGAATTCTGCACATATTCTTCTGTGATAAATATTTTAGTTAATTAATTAGTCAGTCCCTTCATTCATTCATATTAATGTCTTCTATGAGAGGCAAAGTGCTAAGCATTAGGGATACAAGGACGAATAATAGATCCTCTCTTAACTTCAGTCCAGCTGGGGAGACAGATTTAAAACCATTTAAAAATTATTATATTCTTAAATATAGCAAATTATAGAACAGTACTTACTGTGTGCTGTCAATACTATAAAAGGGGGGAATAATATATTTGTATTCACTTTCACATAAATAAAAATTTCTGGAAGGATCAGTAAGAAAATAAACAGTGACTACTTTTTTTTCCTTGAGAGAACTAAGTGGACAGGCAATAGGCTGAGAGACATTTTACTGTCTACCTGTTTATACTTACTGAAAATCAAACCATGTGAATGGATAAACTATTCAAACAATTAGAAGATTTTAAAAAGAAAAGTAATCATAATATATCAAGGGGTATGATACCACTATATGCATTTGGGACAGTGGTGGCACAAATAAAGAATCAATTGTGCTTGGTGGTTTGTGCTAACAGAGGGCTTCACAGAGGAGGTGCCACCGGAGGCCCACCCTCTGAGGATGAGGTCACCAAATGGAGAAAGGAAACAGAGGTAAGGGAAAATTTGTACACAAGAAACAAAAAATATATGCAAATGAAAAGGAGATCATAGCACATTTCAGGGAAACATAAGTGGCCTCGGGTGGGAAATGAGGTTGGAAATAGGAAGGGACAGGTCATGGAGGTTCCTTTACAACACCATGCCACAAAGTCTGACATATAACCTGCAGGGTTTGAACAAAGAGAGTAATACAAGGTGCTGCAATACTCCGAAAAAAATAACTAAGTTAATGGCAAGGAATGGAAAAGACAGATTTAAGAGACTTGATAATATTAGATATACTATTAAGTAATCCATATAAAGCACTTAATTCAATACCTGGCACATATAGTAATGGCTCCATAAATATTAGCTGCTGTTGTTAAGATAGAACCTCTATTTGAGAAATTCTTAAGACTGGAACTCTTTCAGAAGGATCAATTCTAACATATCATCTCCTTTCATGCTCCCCCCATTTACACAGGATCAGATGATTCACTCTCTTTTCTTTCCTCTAAGTCTATACATACTGTACAACAGCACCTATTAAACCAGATTATGACTGTGCATACATGTTTCCCCCACAGACTGTGACCAAAGACAACGCAATTGGGCAAAGATAGTATCACTGCATACTGTTAAATCTAGTTAAACTACAGCAAGCGCTACTTTTAATGAGAATAGCCATACCACAAATGTGAAAGAAAAGACAATAAACAGCCTTGCTGAAAACACTGGGAATACAGCAGTGTGTTTAATATCTTAAACCAAAATAATCTGAAGTATATAATTTTTCAATTAAACTTCTCAGTTTACCAGGAAGTAGAATAAAATCACTAGTAAGTTTTTAATGACATGAAAATAAAGCACACAAATGAAAAAAACAGAAAACTTTCAAAAGTTGACTCCCTGTGGAAACAGTGCTACATAATTCCATTAGACCTTCCAAAAAAAGGAAATCACTATAACTTTAGCAGAGGAAAATTTGTAGAACCTTGACTATCTTGTACCAACCACTAAATGTATTTTGTAAACTGAGCAATGGCCACAGTATGCTGTCCTTTAAAAAAACTCATCCTATGATGCATTAAAGAGGATTTTTATTAGATTTTATAACTATGCAAAGATGACAACTACAAAAACTTGGTAATCAAAATACCACAAAAATTGACAGTCATTTTACCTGCAGTATCCATACAATCAGTTATACGATTAGCAAATACTCCTGGGCTCCCTCAGAATTGAGGCTCACACACAAACTGAAAGGAAGTAAAATAGATTCAGATATACTTTAGATTAATATGAAGAAAAACAAATTAAGACTTACTTCATGATATATTTGGCTCTGTCTATTGTTTGAGCTTTAACTTTTACTAAAAGTGGGTGACTGTTATAAGTTTCATTCTTCCATTGGCCATACAGATGATATCTTAAAAAATGATGAGATGAAGAATTAGGAAAAGTTAAATACTTAGTGGTTAATGCACTAGAATAGTAGTTAAAAATACAAAAATATTATGTATTTACCTATGCTGATATGGAAATGTTTTAAACATTCCCCATAGTTCCTCAGACATACAAGCATTGCAGTCCATCAACGAAAGAGATGGAAGTAGTACCTGGTCAGCAATGCTAAGCAAACAGCTAAGGATAACTTCCTAAGAAGAAGGGAGGAAAAATTATTTCAGTAAGAGGTCCATATTAATCCGCCCTCCCCAAATAAATTTATGTCAGCCTTGGAAAAACTGCCATATCTACTTTCCCACACTATCACTGTCCTTTTCACAATGGTTAGTTATGTCTCTCCATCTAACAGAGCAAATGAGGTGAGGGAAGGAAAGGGGTAGCAAGAGAACAAGGGATTTTTATTATCCCTCTTCCTTTCTCAACATGGTAATCCTCAAGAACAGGAGGCTATCACTCTTAAAAGATTACTGTATTATATGCCAATAGCTATGCTTAGCAAGAAATGTATAAAATGATCATTCACAAGGGACAAAAGCTGGTTCACAGGAAAATCTGTAGTATGTTGCACCCAGACAAACATCAGACACATTGGATTTTTCTAGTCTTACCGTTTTCTCTTTATCTTCTTGTTTACCTCCATCAGACTGAAACTAAAAATTAAAAAAATATATATAAATAAAATGCAAAAAGGTTAAGAATATGCTGTCACAATTTAGTTTCTAACTTGAAAAAAATTAATTTGCACATAGTTGTGAATTATTTTCTTACTTTTTATACACATATAGATTTTAAATAGCCAGCACTACCAATTAACATTTTTAGACTCCATCTATATTTCTAACCTCCAAATAATTTGGGACATACATGAATTTTAAATGTCAATTTTATAAGCCAATTATTTTCTCAACCTCATTATCACAAACGAAAGCATCCTAAAACCACAGCCAATATAATTTAGTTGTGATGCATCTGCATTTTCCCATCTAGATGTTCTAGTTTTGCCTCTACAGAATAAAACCTAACACTAAGGCAACAATTAAAAAAAATTAAACCCAAAGAAATTTAAAGCTATGTTTTAATTCAACAATACTTAGCCATCACTGAGAAATAAGCCAAAAATATTAATAACACTGCTGAAAAAAAGACAAAACCACTGCCTAACTTCAACAGACTGAACCAAAAAGACATGGTCATTATTATTACCAGTGATTTGCATGACAGCCAGAAGCGCCTCGTCTGACAATGCTGACTGGTCATTCAGAATGAAACAGTAACACTTGTGTATATAGGCAGGTGGAAGGTCAGAGGATTGTGCAAAGGCCAACAAGACTTCTGAAGCACTGATACTCAAGGACAATTGATTTCAGGGAAGGATTTAGCTATATACCAAGTCAGGGAGGGGAGAAAGCTGATAGTTCAGCTAACAAGCTTATCTCCTTGGCAGATAAGGGAATTTTGTGCATATATGTTTTCATGCGTGAATAATTTAACAGGTGTTACTACCGGGAAGTCAAACCTCTGTGCAAGATCTTCACATACACTCATTTAGAGACTGCTGTATTACCCTGATGGGAAAAGACACTTTATTTTTTTAACTGGCAGGTTAAAAAGATATAGGCCCTTTCACAGCAACAATTACTAAATCAACATATATCCTGCTCAGCAAATAAGGCATCAGGTTATGAAGGAGTGACCTGGCAGAAAACAAACTAGGTTGTTGCTTTCTTCTGTTTGGTTGGGGGTGGGGAGGGCAGATAATTCTGATGGCATACGGAGTATATGTTGGGAGGCAGAAATAAGGGTAGGTCATAATTTGAAGAACTAGGTTTACAGTATATTATGTCAGATATAAAGGCAGTTAAGCTACTCCTTTCCTGGTATACAACAATGTGAAGAAACCTAATAAAGCTACACAGTTTTCTCCATAGAAATAAAACATTTTCTTAGTTCTAAGCTGTCCTAATTACCTACTAGATATTTATATGAGTTTCTAATGTCTGTATGTCAATTCTCTGTATTTCATATGTAGGAAAATTTGAAAAAAAGAAATACAGAAAGCACAATAAAACCATCTAGAAGAGCAGCTAAGAAACATTTTTATCAAACATTAATTATAACAATGATGAAGAAAAAATAAATCAAGAGGTATATGCAGGTAAAAGTAGTTTTCTCTTGTTAAGAAGATATTCTACTCCCTTGATGTTTCCTTTCTCTTTTAGTTTAACTTCATTTGCTTTTAAATTCACAGTAAATATAATACTCTCCATTCCCACAATACAACACTTAAAGTTGTATTGAACAGCCAGGCCAGGAGGAAATGGAAAGAACAGAGGGAGAGGAACAAAAGACAACCACTCATTCATTCACTTACTATGTGCCAGGCACTAGGAATTCAAAGGTAACAGGACAGAGATCCTATTTTGATGAACTGACAAGGATAGATATTAATAGCTACTATCTTTGATGACCTCTTGAAGGTCAAAACTACACCTGACAATGAACTGTTAGGAGCTGGGCTCAAAAAGAATGCACATCCATCAAGAGGCGACTTTTGGAGCGTCAAGAAATAAATTACTAAATAAAGTACTTCTTTACTGCTAACATCCATTTTTTAGCACTTCTAACCCATAAATATTTCAAATGCTGCTTTAGATTATACTTTATCACAAAACAGAAAAAAAATGAAAAATACTAGATTGGAACCTAAAGCTACATCTAAATAAATTATGGCACTATTTTCACCTTCCTTTTATTTCTTGTTCTTCTTAACTACCATTTATTAGACTATGTGCTTTGTACTAGGCTAAGAACTCCACATTTATGTCTTAAAAATACTCTAGAAGGAAAATCTTCTTGCTAGAAAGGATCCAAGTAAGACCCATCAAAATAACTCAGAAATAGGAAAATATAACCTATAGGTTAAAAGTTATACGAACTTGAGTTTACCAAACCTGGAGAAGAGATAACTCAATCACCTTCAATGTTTTGATTGAAATCCCTGTTTTTATCTTTTAATCAGAATTTGTCAGACTTTATCAAACACTTAGAAATAACCAGCAATGCTGATACATTTATGAAAACACAGAAAGAGAAGCTAAATGAAAAAGTAGTGTCTTCCAATACATTTCATTCTTAATCAGTACAAATCCGTACTAAGATAGCAAAAGATTAATAATACGGTCACCTAACCCTCCTACACTGTTGGTGGGAATGTAAATTAGTCCAACTATTGTGGAAAGCAGTATGGAGGTTCCTCAAAAAACTCAAAATAGAAATACCATTTGACCCAGGAATTTCACTCCTAGAAATTTACCCAAAGAAAGCAAGATGACAGATTCAAAGACATATGTACCCCTATGTTTATCATAACACTATTTACAATAGCCAAGATATGGAAACAACCTAAATGTCCATCAAGAGATGAATGGATAAAGAAGATGTGGTACATATACACAATGGAATATTATTCAGCCATAAGAAGAAAACAAATCCTACATTTGCAACAATATGGATGGAGCTAGAGGGTATTATGCTCAGTGAAATAAACCAGGCAGAGAAAGACAAGTACTAAATGACTTTACTCATTTGTGAAGTATAACAAAGCAAAACTGAAGGAACAAAACAGCAGCAGACTCCCAGATTCCAGAAAGGGACTAGCAGTTACCAAAGGGGAGGGGATGGGGGAGGCAGAAGGGGATTAAGGGGCATTATGATTAGCACACATAATGTAGGGCACAGAGAAGACAAGCAGTGACTCTGTGGCATCTTACTACATTGATGGACAGTGACTGCAGTGGTGTGTTGAGGGGGGCTTGATAACATGGATGAATGCTGTAACCACAATGTTGCTCCTGTGAAACCTTCATAAGATTGTATATCAATGATACCTTAATAAAAAATAATAATATGGTCACCTACACACAAGATGACCATATGTGCTGGTTCTCACTTTTTACCTCAGTGTAAATAACAGCACATCCTTTCAATCTTGAGAATCTTGGTTTATAAAAGTACATGGTCTCCCTACCTACCACATGGGCAGCAGTCAAACTGTAGTACATGACTTGTGGGAATGGTTTAAATATTAAAACATAGCAAACAAACTGCTAAATAGCTATGATGAGTTTCATAAAATTCACACTTCAAAGTAATTAGAGCTAACCCTTGAACAACACAGGTTTAAACTGCAAGTATCCACTTACATGTACATTTTTTTCAATGAAGATTTGCTATAACTTGAAAAAATTTTTTCTAGCTTACTTTATTGTAAAGAATACAGTACATAATACATATAACATACAAAATATGTATTAATCAACTGTTTATATTATTAATAAAGCCTCTGGTCAACAGTAGGCTATAGTAGTTAAGTTTTGGGGAACTCAAAATTATACATGGATTTTCAACTGTGCTGGGTGTCAGCACCCCCAATCCCACATTGTGCAAGGGTAAACTGTATTTTACTTAGAACACAGGTTATGTTATGACAGTGTGCTCTGTTTTATACAAGCATAGTTCTAACAAACTGTGTATAAAAATGGGTATTTTCAGTGCACTTAACATGAATATGTGATTTATTTAAATGAATTCTCTTTATAAAAGGAGTTCATAATAGAAGTCTGTTGTAAAACAAAAAATTGCCCTGTAAATCTATCTTTAGGGAAAATTAAGGATTTAATATGGTACCTGTTTAAATATCCCCTTGTGTTTTAATTAAGATTCCCCCAGAAACAGACCCTATTCAAGTGCAGGCACAGTTCATTTGGGAAGTAATCCAAGAAACCACCAGTAGGAAACTATTCCTCTGGGTAACTGGAACTTAATCCCTCTGGGGACTCTGAAGATCTTTGTAGAAATACACTGCAGGGTTATCCCATCTGAGTGAGGGCAAGGTAGTTATACACCAACTTCTGTTATTGCATTGATTGAGAGCTGGAGAGAGAGGGCAAGGTGAGTTAGTTCCCCAGCAATTCCAGCTACCAATTCCTGCAATACCTAGGCAGGCTCCCAGAACCACAACAAACACTGAAAAGAGACACAGGTGCCAGAGGTTGAAACTTGGGCTGGCACACACAGAAATGGTAAGGTTCCAGCGTAAGAGCCAAAGGGACATATAGGGAGCATCTACTACGTCCTGCACAAACAACAGCCAAATCTCCAAGAGGTGAATATTTTCACAAATATTTTCTAATGTGATCTCTCTTTTTCACACTTGAGGGTTTTTTTCTGAAACTGAAAATTGAGTTTCAATTGCAGAGAACAGTCTTTGAAAGGAGGCACAGGGTTTGAATCATTCATTTACAGTGTGCATTTGGTCCACACTAAAAATTCTACTTTTCTTTCTTATATAAAATGTACTTTCAAAAATTATACTGTTTGTACACAGAGTCCACTGTTGCCTAACAGTCTTAATATCTGCCTATCCTTGTGTATGTTTATATACCTCTCTTAGGTAAAAAGCAAAACTAATGGGAAAGATCCTATTTGTAATTAATTACCTTAACTATGATTCTACACCTTGATTAGAACTGTCACATGAACATTCTCAGTAATAGCTAAGGTGACCTTAGTTCAAACCAATGATTACAGGTGACAAGTGCAAATATAAACATCCTAACAGTTCTTCCTGCTCAGGCTTATTAGTAGCAAG